AAGCAATGGGTTCGCCTAAAGCGCGGCCTCTACAAGGATGACATTGCACAGGTGGACTATGTGGATTTGGCCCAAAATCAAGTGCATCTAAAGCTACTGCCACGCATCGATTACACAAGAATGCGAGGAGCATTGAGGACGACAGCAACGGTATAAACTGGGTTCATCAAGAATTATGAATGAATATAAAGTGAAAATACACTTTTTTTTAGGAGAGTGACGATAGCAAGCGCAAGAAGAAACGTCGTCCTCCAGCCAAGCCTTTTGATCCAGAAGCCGTGAGGTAAACAAAACTGCTATCCTTTGTTATAAAGCTCTTCCTTATTAAGTCATTTAATCTTGTAGGGCAATTGGAGGCGAAGTCCACTCCGATGGCGACTTCTTGCTCTTCGAGGGCAACCGATATTCTCGCAAGGGCTTCCTCTACAAGAATTTTACCATGTCAGCCATTCTGTCGGACGGTGTAAAGCCCACTCTGGCCGAACTAGAACGCTTTGAGGAATCTCCAGAGGGTAAACAAATATAAAACTATATTCCTCCCAACTAATATTAATTCGCACTTGGCTCTCATTTACAGAGGTCAACTTGGAAATTCTTGGCAGCATTAAGGATGATCCCACTTCAACCCATTCGTTCTCAATGGGTGACAACGTTGAAGTTTGCATTGGCGACTTGGAAAACCTGCAGGCCAAAATTGTGGCCATTGACGGCACTATGATTACGGTCATGCCCAAACATCAGGATCTTAAGGTTTGTTTTAACAACAAAAAACGAATGTGATTTAGTACTACAAGTATTTTGTGTGTTTTCAGGATCCTTTGATCTTCAAAGCCAGTGAATTGCGCAAATATTTCAAGACAGGCGATCATGCCAGGGTCTTGGCTGGTCGTTATGAGGGCGAAACCGGTCTCATCATTCGCGTTGAGCCTCAGCGAGTGGTCCTGGTATCGGATTTGACCAACCACGAGCTGGAGGTGTTGCCCAGGGACTTGCAGTTGTGTTCCGATGTGGCCACCGGTGTCGATTGTCTCGGTCAGTTCCAGTGGGGAGACTTGGTGCAACTCGAGTGAGTTTCTATTTAATTTCTTTTGTTTGTGTGAGGCAACCTCTGATATCTAATATCATCGATATCATTTAGTTCCCAGAATGTGGGCGTTATCGTGCGTCTGGAGCGCGAGAACTTCCATGTGTTGGGCATGAATGGAAAGTGCATTGAGTGCAAGCCAACTGCCTTGCACAAGCGAAGGGAGAACCGTAATACCGTGGCCCTGGATGCAGACCAGAACCAGATTCGTCGCCGTGACATTGTCAAGGTTATGGAGGGTCCTCATGCTGTAAGTAATTCCATAAAATCCCTTTCATTAGCATATCGCTTAGCAGAGACTCTCTTGCAGGGCCGTTCCGGTGAGATTAAGCACCTGTACCGCAGTCTGGCCTTTCTCCATTGCCGCATGTACACGGAGAATGGCGGAATATTTGTCTGCAAGACGCGGCACTTGCAGCTGGCGGGAGGCAGCAAGACCAATGTGAATAATGCGGGTACCCTGGGTGGCCTGGGTTTCATGTCGCCGCGCATTCAATCACCCATGCATCCTTCCGGCGGTCGGGGCGGAGCTCGAGGTGGGGCACGTGGCGGCCGGGGCGGATTCCGTGTCACCCGAGATCGCGAAATTCTGGGTAAAACCATCAAGATCAGTGGAGGACCCTACAAGGGCGCTGTGGGTATTGTTAAGGACGCAACCGAGAGCACAGCTCGCGTAGAGCTGCATACCTCATGCCAGACGATTTCTGTGGACCGGAATCATATTGCCATTGTGGGAGTGCCCGGAAAGGAGGGCAGTGTTTCCACTTATGGACGAACCCCAGCTCGTACTCCCGGCTATGGAGCCCAGACGCCCAGCTACACTGCTGCCGGATCAAAGACTCCGTTGGTGGGAAGCCAAACACCCAACTGGGATACGGATACTCGTACTCCTTATGGTACAATGACACCGTCTCACGATGGCAGCATGACGCCACGTCACGGAGCTTGGGATCCGACTGCAAACACTACGCCGGCCAGGAACAACGACTTCGATTATTCCCTTGAGGAGCCCAGCCCCAGCCCGGGCTACAATCCAAGTAAGAGTTTTTACCGTTTGTTGTTTTAAAACGTTTTCTAATCCCTGCTGATTTTTTAGGTACTCCTGGCTATCAGATGACTTCCCAGTTTGCACCCCAAACACCTGGCACTCTTTACGGATCAGATAGGAGCTATAGCCCCTTCAATCCCAGCCCAAGCCCAGCTCCGTCGCCCTATCCTGTTGGCTACATGAACACTCCTTCGCCATCGACTTATTCTCCGAATACTCCGGGTGGCATACCGCAGTCTCCGTACAATCCCCAGACACCCGGAGCCAGCCTGGACTCCTCAATGGGCGACTGGTGCACCACGGACATTGAGGTTCGCATCCACACCCACGACGACACCGATCTCGTGGGGCAAACTGGCATTATCCGCACGGTTTCCAATGGCGTGTGCTCGGTATTTTTGCGCCAGGAGGACCGTAGTGTGTCCATTGTCAGTGAGCATCTGGCTCCAGTGCCACCCAACAGTGGTGATGAGTTTAAGGTCATCTACGGCGAGGAGCGCGAGTCCGTTGGCAGGGTGCTGTCCAAGCAGGAGGGCGATGTGCTCGTCTGTAAGATAAACGACGAGGTTAAGATGATACCCGTTAACCACCTCTGCAAAATGAAATCCATTGATTAAGCTCTGAAAAGAAAATATGTTTATGTTTACCTTTTCGTAATTGACGAAAGCATCTTTAAAATTCAAATATTATACAAATATTAATTCAAATAAACAATAATCGCACGTTTATTAAAGGAATGTAGATTAACCCAAAAAAACGTTGTTTGCTTTAATCTCAAATAATTTGTATTTTGCAGCTGTGTTTTATACGATTTAAAAGTATTTTTTTGAAATTTTATTTACGATTAAAAAGTATTTTTTTGTATTTGAAATTTTATAAAAACCAAATTTATATGTGCTATATATAAGTACTTGTTCTTAATGATCAAATTACAAACGGTATTTATCGATCTATTCGGAAAACTTTAAAAGAATTATAGATGAACCAGTTCGTATTTAGAAGTTTGCGGGAAAAATATGAAAACAGCGTAATTCTAGCTTTTTTGTAATGCACTGACGAGCTATCGATACACATTCAGTCATATCGATGTTTCTCCATCTCTACCCACGATAGTTAAGCTCACAAACATTTAAGGTATTCTTCCACGCAAATGAAATATTATGGATATTCACTCCAAGCGAAAGAATTTTATATATGTACGATTTTCGTTATTAACTGGAAAAAATCTAATTCTTCCAGTTCTCCGTTCCCGGCATCATTCCAAAAGACTCTATGTTCCACATCCATTTTCAGTAAATTTGGCTGATTGGACTTCAATTGGTCTAATTTGTTTATTCAGCTTGGCGCTGCCACCTTATTGGAACAGAGTCAAACCGATGTGGCAGCTCCGTTTCACTTTGTTTACAAGAATTATTTTGCTATTATTATGTGACAGTTGTGCCAAGCATTCGCCCAACTAGCTAAAGAAACCGCAGTGATCAGCAATTCAGTTTTTTGGCTAAACAAAGCCAATAAAATATATAAATCCGGTTATATCGACTCACGATATATTGGTAGATAGAAACAATCGATATATCGATATTTGATACATCTTTGACAACCCTAATCTACTTCTTCCTCTTTCCTTTCTTTCCTAAAAACCATAATGGCGGTAGGTTTAGGGAAAATTTTGGAATTTCTAACTGCTGGCATCGACGATAATTCCACTGCCTTTGCGAAATGTTAAAGTGCGAATGCGACGTGCAAGCCCTCGAAATGCCGACCGAAATGTTATTTTGCGAGTTTCCGGCCCCCAAGTGACGATTTCCATTGATTGTTTCAGGCCGTTGCTAAGAAGGAACCCAAGATTAAGCGCGACCCGGCGAAGAACCCGATGCGGGATCTGCACATCCGCAAGCTGTGCCTGAACATCTGCGTGGGAGAGTCCGGTGATAGGCTCACCCGTGCCGCCAAGGTAGGCTAGTTGAATTTATCACCGGTGTGCTGCTGGAAGCTAACTAAAACGCCGTGTCTACTTCCACAGGTGCTGGAGCAGCTGACTGGTCAGCAGCCAGTGTTCTCCAAGGCCCGCTACACAGTGCGTTCCTTCGGAATTCGTCGTAATGAGAAGATCGCTGTGCACTGCACGGTGCGTGGCGCCAAGGCCGAGGAGATTCTGGAGCGTGGCCTGAAGGTCCGCGAGTACGAGCTGCGTCGCGACAACTTCTCCTCCACCGGCAACTTCGGTTTCGGCATCCAGGAACACATCGATCTGGGCATCAAGTACGATCCCTCCATCGGTATCTATGGTCTGGACTTCTACGTCGTTCTCGGCCGCCCAGGTAAGCATTTTGATTCGGAATTCCCCCCTGATTTCGTGCACTTAATTAGGTATCTCAGCTAAACGAGGCTCTGATGCTCAGTGAATGTGCGCAAATAAAAGAAGATGTGCTTAGCTGGACTTGTTTGTTCTCCTTTCAAGGCCACACGGTACAATTTCAACAGTCGCGCACTCTTAAAATCATTTTGAAGCTTACTAACTGGTGGTCATTCTTGAATTTCAGGCTACAACGTGAACCACAGGAAGCGCAAGTCCGGCACCGTGGGCTTCCCCCACCGCCTGACGAAGGAGGATGCCATGAAATGGTTCCAGCAGAAATACGATGGCATCATCTTGAACAGCAAGAAGTAGAAGCACTCTACCCGTAACCATGTTTTTTAAGAAGAATTCTACAATAAACCTTGGCCTGTGTCAACTCGTAAAACTTATAATGTCTGATATCAGTATTTATCAAGAAGTCAGGCGGGCGTAGCTTCAAAAGTGTGTCAGTGTTCGAAGGTATTCAATGGTTTCTTAATCTCTTGGACACGTTTTTAAGGTTACTTGTGATTAGTTTAGGAAGCCCTTGAGTGAGGCAATCAGGTGGCTATTCCTTTAAATTTTAATATTTTTAATGGATTTAGAGCTTTTGCAATGTTTGGTTAAGTGCATTTCAAGTGTTTTAAACTTTGTGTTTTGTAATTAAAGCCATGAAGGCTTTCGGAGTTTGGTCCTTAGCCATGTTCAATGTCAAGCCTGTGGTGAACTTGAAAATTTTGTGTGTGTGGGAGAGACTCTGAAGCGGAAGCCAAAGTTGAAGGTGGCCGAAAGTTTCAATAAATCGATGCCAACACCATGCGGTTGCCATGGCAATTGAAAGTCCTTTGCAGGGCCAAACACGTCAGAAATATAGCCGTAAACAAAATAAAACTGATGCCAGTCCAATACCAAAATGGGAATGTTGCACAATTTGGCTGACTTGATAAAGATTAAAAAGGATAAAATGACAATTCTGGTGCTGGGCCTAAACAACAGCGGCAAGTCCTCGATAATCAATCACTTTAAAAAGTCCAGCGAACAGACGTCCATTGTTGTGCCAACAGTGGGCTTTATGGTGGAGCAGTTTTACAGTAAGTGTGTGTGGAATATATAGAGGTCCTATAATTGTGAACTCATCACCCTGGAGCAGGCATGGCTGGCGTTAGCATAAAGGCAATCGATATGTCTGGAGCTACGCGGTACCGAAACCTTTGGGAGCACCAGCTTAAAAATTGTCATGGAATTATATACGTCATCGATTCCAGCGACCGCATGAGATTCGGTATTGACCAATCATTTCAAAACCTTTTCCATTGCTGAAAGTTTCCATTTCAGTTGTGGTCAAGGATGAGCTGGATCTTGTATTGCAGCATCCAGATTTATGCAACCGAATAGTGCCAATTCTCTTCTATGGAAATAAGTCGGACATGGAGGACTCCCTGTCGAGTGTGAAAATAGCAGCAGGTACAGAAAATAATGCTTTTCAAGTGCTACAAAGATGCCTTTTTTCATACCTACATATAGACTTTCATTAATTTCGGTTTCTTATTTTCATATTCGGCCTGTTTCAGCTCTGAGACTGGAGAACATCAAAGAGAAACCCTGGCACATTTGCTCAAGTAATGCTATCTCTGGTGAGGGTCTTGGCGAAGGTGTCCAATGGCTTATCCAGCAAATGCGTTTTGCCATGCTTAACAACAAAGATGCCGCCAAGGCCAGGTCTAAACACTCTAAATAGATCTTCACATTTTTACTACTCTCTTCTTAATGTTAAATTAAAATAAACATTGTTTTTATCGGAAAATGAGTATTACCAAGATGAATTTTTTTTTTAGGAAATCAACAGAAATTTATTTTTTCGCAGGGACAATCTATTCGTTTCATTACAAATTAACACAGGCGAAGATGGCCAAGCAGGTTGGCTTTCCCTTCGTTAAATGGTAAATAATATATGTAAATTCAAATTAACCAATATTATTTAATTTAGCAGTCTAAGAAGTTAGCCGCCATCAAAAGTTCTAGTGCGATCTCGGGTGCGATAGGGAATTCGGGTATTTCGGTAGAACTATTGGTGTAACGCACTTTATAGGTGAAGTACATGCAGACCTTTTGTAAGACGTGGGATCTGAAAAGAAATCGAGATGGTTAATAGTTGTAAATAGTATTTTAGTTAATGGGATTATGCAATTAGTAGATTAGCAGATAGTTCTAAGGGAAAATGTCGCAATGTGTAAGCTTTCGAAGCCTGTACAGATATGGCAAGAAAATTAGCGCCAGGGAACACATAATTCTATACACGAATGTATTTAAATTAAAATTTAAACAATTGATTTGCTAACAGAGTTAATATATTAATTATTGTTATGAAGTATTTCTTTTTATTTCTTTGTGACGAAGCTCTTAAAGTAAATGGTCTATATATAGAGTCCTTCACTATGGAATTATTCATCTTTCTTGGAGAGTGAAAATCCATGAAATTAAAAGCTTTTCGTGTATAATTTTAGTAACAATTGGAAGTTATGGCTTTGCCTTATTTAACTAGCAAAGATTACAATATAACAGAGCCTAGATTAAATCGTTCCTAGCGATCTTTGTAATCCCTAGACTTTAGCTTGGGGCCCTGCCTGGCGCCACCTATGTACATGTATGCGTGTGTATATATATGCATACATATTTATGTGTGAGCGAATTTGTCGCCGGTCAATAGGTCACCGGATGACTTGGCGCTGCCCAGGTGGCAAAGCAACTGCCGGTGGCCCTCAGGCGGGGTCTTTTACTTACGGAATCTCCCGGAAATGCACTTCGTTAGCCTCGTTCTCGGCAAACTGGCCAGGGCCCGACAACATCGCCCGGATTGTGCCGGAGGTGAGAGCGTGTTCCCGTTTCACAACGAATTCGTGGCCGTCCGAGGAAATCAGCTTCACGTACATGGCATCCGGCCCCTCGCATCCGCCATAGATTTTGTCGCCGCGCTGCTCGTCCATTGCTATCATCGAAATTGCTATTTCGAGGATTAAAAATGCTCGCAAAAATATTTTTTTTTTTACTTTAGGGCTGGGAAAACGTCGATGTCACCATCGAACTAATCGATATTTTCGGATTATGGTTATCGCTTATCGGTGTTGATTTTTTTCAGTTGGCTGCTATTGGTCACACTTCCAGCGTTGCCGGAATTTTCAAGAAAAATCCTCGGTTTCAGAATTTTCCGCGCTTGCCGTCATTTTCCACAGATAAGCGCTTTAGTTGAAAGGAAAACTCTATGGAGCACTTGGCAAAACTGTGTTTTCTTGGGAAAACCTCCAGATTTTTGCAGACTAATTTTAATTTAACCATATTTAGATTTATATTAAAATTTAAAATTAATTTACTTAATTATTTAGGAAACTGGATTTATTTTTTTAGCTGTTTATTTTTGTTAATCCATTTTTTTTGTCATAAAAAAATGGCACCACTATTTGCAACAACAAAATAAATTTTTATAATTAAAATAAAACCTAAATAACTAATTTTATTATAATTGGGTTTATTCAAAAAAAAAAAAATAAAACGAATTTATGATTTAATTGGGTAATTTACTTTGCGAAATCGAATGAAGGTTATGAGCTATGAGTCATAATTTGTGACATATGCTCTCAAAATAGACTCAACCTGCCAATGTACAAGTACATCTTAATAAAATACGTGTGGGAAATTGTAGATTGAAGTAAATTTAGCAAAAAAACCAGACACAAGGCCATATTTAAGCTTGCAGTCGACAAAAAATAACAAAACATTGTATGTGGGCTGCAAATTTCCACTTCCTACGTCAAAGATAATAGTGCCCACCTTTCTCAAGGGCGAATTAAATTAGTTTTTTTTTCTTTGCAAAATATTTACTCGAAAAGTTGAGGCAGGTTAAGACCTCCTAATAAATAACATTCTATAAATAAATCAATTCGGTGAATGAAATTATCAACTATCAACAAACATGACCACATCTCAGAAACGAACCAGCAGGAGGAATGGTTATGTTCGCTTTTTACAGCAAATTAAATACAATAAACCCTCCAAAAATAAAATTATATTGAAAAAGAAGTGTAGTTTAGACTTGTGAACAAAATGGGATCCGACTTTATTGATTACGTTGTTAAAAGAACAAACATATTACAACTGAATGAATTATTTGTTCTCGCATTTTCTTTTTTCGCAAAACATAATTGATCGAGAATGGGGATTTAGTTCTCGTCGACCTCAGCCTCTTGCTCTTCCTCGAATTCGGCATCCTCGTCGGCGGTGGCCTCCTGGTACTGCTGGTACTCGGACACCAGATCGTTCATGTTGCTCTCGGCCTCGGTGAACTCCATCTCGTCCATGCCCTCGCCGGTGTACCAATGCAAGAAAGCCTTGCGCCTGAACATAGCGGTGAACTGCTCGGAGATGCGCTTGAACAGCTCCTGGATGGCGGTGGAGTTGCCAATGAAGGTGGCGGACATCTTCAGGCCACGGGGAGGGATGTCGCACACGGCGGTCTTCACGTTGTTGGGGATCCATTCGACGAAGTACGAGCTGTTCTTGTTCTGGATGTTCAGCATCTGCTCGTCGACCTCCTTCATGGACATGCGTCCACGGAAGATGGCGGCGACGGTAAGGTAGCGACCGTGACGGGGATCGCAGGCAGCCATCATGTTCTTGGCATCGAACATCTGCTGGGTCAGCTCGGGCACGGTGAGGGCGCGGTACTGCTGGGAGCCGCGGGATGTGAGGGGAGCGAAGCCGGGCATGAAGAAGTGAAGACGGGGGAAGGGAACCATGTTGACGGCGAGCTTGCGGAGATCAGCGTTCAGTTGACCGGGGAAACGGAGGCAGGTGGTAACGCCGGACATGGTCAGCGAAACGAGATGGTTCAGATCACCGTATGTGGGCGTCGTCAGCTTGAGAGTACGGAAGCAGATGTCGTAGAGAGCCTCGTTGTCGATGCAGTAGGTCTCGTCCGTGTTCTCCACCAGCTGGTGCACAGACAGAGTGGCGTTGTAGGGCTCCACCACGGTGTCAGACACCTTGGGCGAGGGCACCACCGAGTATGTGTTCATGATCCTGTCGGGGTACTCCTCACGGATCTTGGAAATCAGCAAGGTTCCCATGCCGGAGCCGGTACCGCCGCCGAGCGAGTGTGTGAGCTGGAAGCCTTGCAGGCAGTCGCAGGATTCCGCCTCCTTGCGGACAACATCGAGGACAGAGTCCACCAGTTCGGCGCCCTCTGTGTAGTGACCCTTGGCCCAGTTGTTACCGGCTCCAGACTGGCCGAACACAAAGTTGTCGGGCCTGAAGATCTGGCCGAAAGGTCCCGATCGCACAGAGTCCATGGTGCCGGGCTCCAGATCGACAAGGACCGCGCGGGGCACGTACTTGCCGCCGGACGCCTCATTGTAGTACACATTGATGCGCTCCAGCTGCAAGTCGCTGTCACCATGGTAAGCGCCGGTGGCATCGATACCATGCTCATCGGAGATGATCTCCCAGAACTGAAAATAGGTAGAGAAAAACAAGAGGGGTATTAGAAAAAGCCAAAGTGTGGAAAATCGATATATGATTCACAAATGAGTCATCAGCTTAGCTTATTAAGTCTTTCCAAAAATGGAACCATTGTTTTGACCATAAAAGAGTTCTTTAAATGGCAAATAAGTCGATTGGAAAAGCCATCTGGCTTTTTATTTAACTTTTAGCAAATGAATCAGCTGTAAAATTGATTGTTATTAAATTTTGTCAAAATTTAGGCCATCTGCCACACCTTTTTCTAAGGTTGTTGCCAATACAAAAATGTACTTAAGGTTAGCTGCTCCTATTCAATTTCCTGTACTTTCCGTTGAAAAATCAATATTTTGACAAATTTCTTGTTGTAAAATTCGGACAATGACGTATTTAAAGCATTCAATCTATTGTTGTTATATGGAAGAAACCTCGTTGCTTTATTTCGATCACAAGCTGACGTGTTAATTAATCTACACTTAAGAACCACCTGGTCAACCTCTGTTGGTGTGTAATTACCTTTAAGGGGCAAAACCTCAATTAAAGCTTGGAGAAAGTTTGAGTTTTGAGCACTCAAAACCACACATGAAGCCCATTCATAGAGAAAATTCGACTCGGGAAAGTTCTGGCTCGGAAAGCCAGTCAGCCAACTGAGTTTGTATCTTTATCGATTGGAATGAATGGGCGCACGGGGAGAGCACAGGCCTCAATTATGTATGTACCCAAGTCTAGGCTGGGCTCTAGGCTATATAGCATATACATGTATGCTCGGGCACCTATGTGTGTCGGCGGCCGCCATCATAAACTCTGTGTATGGGCCGAGCTCCGATTAACATAACTCATTCCGCTGCCATTTTTGGTGCGCCACCACCACCATCGATAACGTCATCTGGCGTGGGCTTTGGCTGCGGTTTCGGATCTCGGATCTCGAGGCGCAGCTGTCACCGTCGGCCTGGCCCGGTCCGGTGCGCTACGATCTCTCTTGAATCTTCGGGCGTGGGCCGAGGTGTCTGTCTGCTGCCCCCACGCACAGCCGGCGACCTCAGAGCCGGCTGCTTGCTCTCTACCTTTCCACCACCCCAAACCCCCCAGTTTCCGATTGCTTACATCACCGGTTGAGGCTTGGATCTCAGCCCACTCTCTGGCAGAGACGGAAACGGAGGAGGAGGTGGAGGTACTTGGAGAGAGGCGTCGGCGTTGGCGTTGCCAGAGGTTAAACTGCAGCTTAGAGAGCTCCAACCGCCGACCATCTGGCGCATAAATCGTCTGTTTTTCAGGGCATTACGTCACCGCCCAAAGCAAAGTTTAGCTCTGCTTGTTGTTTATGTCGCGTAAACAAATAAAACAATTTGTGGAATAAGTCTGGTATTGGGAACGGTTCGTACTATGTACGGAGGAAATGCGTGGTTGCCACTCGTAAAAGCGAAATGGTACCGGATTTTATATATAGAAATATTCCCTTTTAAGCCAGCCTTTCTTGCACACACACACACGCAGAGCCTTACTTGGGCACAACAATTGTTATGTTGCAGCTGCTCAGAGTCTAAGGGGATTTTTTTTAGGCGTTTCCGGGGGTGGTTTTCGGCCTATTCTCAGGACATGGCCATCGATTTTCCGGCAAGGACTAGAAACAGGCGATGACACAGCGGATTCGTCATCATGCCGGCTGTCCCTGTCCCGTTATCCCTCCGCCATCTGCACGCATGTGCAGCACCGCCCTTCTAACCTGGCTGTGCTGGTGAGCGGAGTTTGAGTGTATGTGTGGGTATGAGAGAAAATCAGATAGAGACAGATGGCGAATTCCTCTGTATATGGTCATCTCATTTCTGCAGCCTCTCTTCTCTTGCCGGCCCCCTTACAAATAACTGAGAGTTGCAAATTGCAATTTTACTTCGAGCTGAAAAGGTGCTGCGCCCAACATTCATGTATGCATAGCGTCATGACCGAAAAATAGAAAATGTTTTCAGGCCGAAGAGATAAGATAGCGCTGGAGTAGTGCAAAATACAAAAAATCGACCGGGTGGAATGCAAGAAAATCGATAGAACGAAGACATCTGCAGACTCACACACACATTTAAGTGAGCATTTATGGATGAATGTGTGTGTACAAAATACATACCAATTATGTATGTAGCGCAACTCTCTTATACTCTACGAACCGGTCAACGTTCAGCCATTTTAGGTTAAAATGACGTCATGTTTTCTCTTTAGAAGACGCATAGCGGCAAAAACCGGCCGACGCTTACACACACACGAGTGTACGAGTGTGTTTATGACTCTGCGTGTCTTTGGCTGTCGGTGTGTGAGTCGAAAACCGAGAAAAGTACCCTTCACCATCTGTGCGGTGAAATGGCTTTCACAACCAGAGGAAAACTATGAAAGTATTTTGCCGCAGGGAAAATGACTCATGCACTCACCACGCACACATACGCGCAAACAGTTTGATGTAAATGCAGACACACCCAACTATAATTACATATGGCCAGAGTCAACGGCCCTAAAAGGTTACCTTTAGTATTGCTACTAATTTAGGGCGTGCCTAACTGTGGTAGTCGGGTTTGGAACCCAAATCCCCGAAAGGAACAACAAAATGCAAGCATCTTTCCGAAATCGGACAACATACAGACACAGATGCCGGGAGTCGGCGAACGCACACACATACTAATGCTTCGAGATATACATAAATTGCGCTGTGTGTGTGAAAATGCCGGCGGCCTCAATACAAATTTTTGCCACATGGGCAGCTGCCGTGCAAAATGACGCCATTTTGGCAACTGTACTCGGAACGATCCCGGCAAACGGGCAGAAAATCGGAAAATAGTGTGGGAAAACTCACCTTGGCGCCGATTTGGTTGCCGCACTGACCAGCTTGGATGTGAACGATTTCCCTCATTTTGTGTTTGTAGTGGGTTTTTGAACTTTTAACTTAAAATTATCTTTCGCTTATAGCAGTCGAACACAACACAAACTGTCCGCTTCACACACTTTGAAAAATTTTCAAAAATTATTCGATTTTCGGAGAGGATTCCGCCCTTATATAGGAGTGGCGCTGTAAATCGTGCGATTCTTTTGCCCAAATGCTGAAATCGTGGTGTTTTTCTTTGATATTCTTTGGTATTTTCGCCCTGGTCACTCTGAATGTCAAATTACAGGCTTGGGGTCGAATTCTCGTTTTTGGGGTCGAATTCTCATGTAGAGTGTAAAATGTAAGTAAACAAAATTATTCGAAAATTCGGAGAGGATTTCGGAGTAGCGCTGTAAATCGTGCGATTCTTTTGCCCAAATGCTGAAATCGTGGTGTTTTTCCTTGATATTCCTTGATTTTTTCGCCCTGGTCACTCTGAATGTCAAATTACAGGCTTGGGGTCGAATTCTCGTTTTTGGGGTCGAATTCTCATGTAGAGTGTAAAATGTAAGTAAACAAAATTATTCGAAAATTCGGAGAGGATTTCGGAGTAGCGCTGTAAATCGTGCGATTCTTTTGCCAAAATATCAAAATCGTGGTGTTTTTCTCTGATATTCTTTGGTATTTTCTCCCTGGTCACTCTGAATGTCAAATTACAGGCTTGGGGTCGAATTCTCGTTTTTGGGGTCGAATTCTCGTGTAGAATGTAAAAAGTATATCAAAATATCAATATATCGATATCGCGATATTTGGTCACTCTGAAGTTCAAAACAAAAATGTCAAAACAAAGTTTTGCATGCTTGGGGTAGAATTCTCATGTAGAGTGTAAAATGTAAGTAAAAAAAAATTATTCGAAAATTCGGAGAGGATTTCGGAGTAGGGCTGTATATCGTGCAATTCTTTTGAATTGCATGTTAAAAATATATAATATAATTTTTGAAGCCTGGTATTACCTAGCTCTGAGCCCGCGGTAACACTGAAGTCCTCAGCTTCTTTTGAAGTTTTTGGTGAATATTGAAGTTCTAGCAATTTCTTAAGACGCACAAAATGAATTCTGAGCAGTGTTTAAATGATATTTGCAAAATATTAACGGACATTTAAGCAGATTCTGGGTGCTGGGAAGATGCCCTGGCCGAGTTGAAATATTCGATTAGAAGCCATTTGTGTAAGTTTTTTGAAAAAAAGGACCAACATATACATAAATCTGTGATAAATAAACAAATTCTTTTTAGCTTACGATATACTCTTCGACTTTGTAAATTTTTCCGAAGTAATACCCACACAGAGAGAAAGGTGCCTTTTAAATTTAAAAGTACCATCTGAGGACAGTGAGGCATATCGGGCGATCGTATCCCCCGAAGGCTATATGCTCTCTAAAAATGTTGACAAATATGTAAGCAATTTGTTTACTATTAACGGACGTCAGAGTTTAAACTCTGATACTTATCAGTTTAAATATGAAAGTGGATTGTTAAGCGTTGAAAGATATTATTTTCTAAATGGACTAAATAAAATATCAAAAAAGAAATATTATGTGGAACCAGCCTTTAAGTTTCCCTTGTCAAAATGGCCTTTCTCTGATCCGCTAGTTCCAGCCTTGGTGCGCAATAAATTTCCTTGGTATTTTGCCATTCCATGGAGGAATAAAAAAAATAATGACGATCGCATTTTTTCGGTATGTGCCCCGAAATGGGAGGTCGAATTACTTGAGCAGCAGCCGAAATCCTTGAAGATTATTTTATTAATGAATCGCCTACTCCGGCTACATTTCAAAAGTTTGCCAAAATTAACCTGCTACATGATGATGACGGTGGTGCTCCATCAACTTTCCATTATAAACTGGCAAAGGGACTGGGTCAGTCCACTCAGCGAAATTTGGACCCGACTCTCGGACAATTTACGTGCCGGAAGAATCGACTCGTTTCTGGTTGATGGATTCAACCTTCTTGATTGTATGACATCTGAAGAACTGGAGCAGTGTGTGGCTACCACTCGGAAGATTCTGTTTCAAATTCTCGAGGCTCGTTACAATAATACCCGCGAAGATGCGGGGAAACTTTTTAAAGTTAATCTCAAGTGAGGAGTTTTTAAAACAATATATTAATAATTACTTATTGGCTTATAAAATAATAAATAATAAAATAAAAAATAATTATTTTCTATTAATTTGTGCTTAAAACAATAAAAACTAATTTTAAGGCACCGAAATATAAAGAAATTAATGAAGAAAAAAATATTGTATTAGTTTAAAATTAATGAAAAAAATATTTTATATTAATTTTTGTTTGGATCATGAAAAACATTTTGTATAAATTTGTGTTTTGGAAAAACTTTCGTTAATGCAAGAAAAGGTAGAAAGAAATTAAGTTTGGAAAAATAAAAACTTGTTAGTACAAGAAAACATAAAATTAATTAATGAAGAAAGAATTTTGTATTAATTTTTTTTTAATAGAATTAGAACCTTTTGTTAAAGAATGGAATTTCATGCAAAAAAAAAAACATTTTGCATTAATTTTTTTATTTTTTTAATGAAACCCTTTGTTAATGCAAAGAAACAAAAGAAATAAATGAAGATGGAATTTGTATTAAGTTGTGTTATCTTTTTTTTTTAACTTGTAATATTCATTTTTATAACCCATATAGGTTCAAATAGAACATACTTTATTCTATGATTCACTCCGATATGTTACATAGTTTTTTGTGAATCGTATCCAATAGCATAGGTAAAAATGTAAAAATTTAAAGCTGAGAAAAATACGTTCAACGTTTTTGATGCACCCACTTTTACACTTGTATACCTTGCGTATTTACTTTATTTGAGGCACTTAGCGTTGGAATTCGTCCTCTATGGCGTCTCCAGAATCCCCTGCTGGTCAAAGTGCACCAGACTGGCTCTGATTGTTTGACGAACTCGCTCGTTCTCGAAGAGCAGTCGTCGCCTGATCCTCATTTTCTCGGAATCAGCAAAGCTAAGACAGTTGAAACCCTCGCTGGCCTCCGCCGAGGCACAGCAGGTGGGAAGCTCACAGGTGACGGACATGTAGCCGTAAAACAAACACCGCTGCCACTCCGCCTTCAACTGCTCGAAAGTGGGCTTGGAGCCGGTAAAACCACACAGCCCCAGGGTTTCCGTGAGTGCGTCAAAGTAGTACTGCAGAAGCTCATCCTTCTGGTGGAGCAGCAAGTCCTGCTGCAGGCTGGTGTGGAAGAAAAAGTGCAGGTCGATGGCAGGACTGCCCCAGAAGCAGTTCTGAAAATCCAACTGGAAAAGAAATAATTTATTAGAGGCTGATCTCTAACAGACGACATACAATACCACTCACCAGGACAGCCCGCTTGGTGGCCCTGTTGACCATTATATTATTCAGCCAGACATCCCCATGAACAACAACGTTAAAAGCCGAGGGCTTTGGATCCACCGCCTCCTGCATGCGACGTGAATAAGCATCAGGTATCTGGGCCTTCATCTTCTTGCTTATCTGCGGTAGTTCTCCGGCAAACAAATTGGCCGCAAACTCGGTGGCATCAAACATAATTCCTCTTATAATGGGATCGGTTATTCCTTTTGAGTAGGCAGATGGCGGAAGCTGCTCCACTAAGGAAAGCTGTTCCTGCCGAAGGACCATGGAGGCGCCATGAAACTGAGCTATCTTTCGCAAACATAGTTTGGCATCTTCAAGGTCCAAACCCTGGAAACGATCCAAAGTGACGTAGCCCAGTGCGCCCAAGTCCTCCAGAATATAGACCTCCTTGCCAGGTGACACCTCCGCCAGCAGGCAACTGATAAATCAAGAAAAATAATATAAATTAGCTTTATAGTATATTATCAAAATTAAATTCTTCTTACTCACTCTGCGTTCAGTTTGTGATCGACCAGGTCGGATGGAGCCTTCTCGAGCACCTTGGACATGGCTGGAAGCACCTGTTCGAACATCTGCTTTTCGCTGGAGCCCAATTCAGCTGCCGCTGGCATCAAATCTTTGATAACATAGTGCCCCGACTCGAGATTTGCTTCGGCAGACCTCCGAAACTTCAAGGCCACCCGATGGATGACACTGCAGAAGTAAGCCCCACTCGGGACTAAGGTTTTGATGTTAAAGTCCTCCACTTGAAGCTTTTCACAGGCGTAGAACGCGGCCAGTGCCCTTTCGAAGGACTCTTTATTGTAGTTTTCCCCTGTTTTATCACCCATTTCCGGCCTGTCCGTTCGCCACAAGCGACTGCGATCGACTGATGGCAGTGCAACAACCCCCGACGTTTTAGAGCCACTTGATAAGATCAACGCACGACCTTGCTTAATTTCTTTAGTGGAAAATGGCAGCCTAATGGAGATTAGATTAAAATTGATTAGAATCAAGAGAAAATGGAGGGATAGGGGGGCCGAAATTGGGAAATCCCTTGCATCGGAAAAGTTTAAAATTCTGGGCCACGTGGAGGTTAGATCTAGAATCGGTTTTTATCTGCAATTACTGTCCCATCAGCTTATCTTGTTATCTTGTTTTGGACGTTAATCCCATACTGGTAGTGCGTGTTAAAAACTTGTTATTATTATTGCATTTGAAATTTCACTATAAATTATCCCTTAAATCCCCTTTGTCGGGCAATTTAAAAATAATGACCACTACCAGAATATAAAAATGATTTAGCACTATCGGATTAAATTGGTTTTTTTAGTTTTATTTATATAACTGGAAATCACGTTATATTTATTTTTAAAATAAAAATATCAACTTTTAACGTCCCCAGTCGCAATGCCTCGGTCTGGCAACCCCCTTTTTTGGGCCTTTTTTAGGTCGTTTCGTTCGCCCAGCTGGTCACACGCAACCACACAATATGGCTGCCGTAATGTGAATTTTTTGGGGAAAGAAAAAGACGTCCATACATTTGTTGCTGCCAAAGGAAAATAGTAATATTTAACTGCATTGTGTATGTGTTTCGGACGAACGTCGTGCGTCAAGTTGTTGCCCCCACGCTGTCGCCCGTCGTAATATATCAAATTACCCATCGCGGATACGAATATATAGCGAATTTCCATTTGTTGCCCGTAGTGCAGTGAGGAGGACAGGGACTACGAATACTCGTAATTTAAGTGAAAATCGGTGACGGGACGACGGGTTCGAAGGCATCATCGCGATAAGAATATAAGCAAACGAAAAGTAAAGAAAAATCTGATTGAAAACCAGAGCGCTGCGAGCGAGAGAGCGAGCCAGCTAGCGAGCGAGCGAGCGGGAGCGGGCGAGTGAGCGAGTGAGAAAGATATGTATTGCATTTGCATTTCGTTGTGTGTGTCGCTGTCGTCGCTCGGTAAAAGTCGGCCTTTCCACTAACCACTTTCGGAAAATCGGAAAAACGGAAGAGCAAAACGGCAAACGGAAAGCGGAAAACAAAAGACGACAGCGAATTAAATAATAATGCGTTACATCGATGCCCCAGAGAGTGAGTGAGAGGGGGCAGAGCGAGCAAGCGAGAGCGACCACGTCCCCGCTTTTCTTGGCCGATCGGATCGGAAAATTTATTTGATTGGTAAGTATAAGAAGTGGCAGCGCCACCGCCACCGCCAGCAAATCAATACTTTAAGGGGCTGCCATTCCGTTCCATTCCGCCTGCTCTCTTTCGTTAGTTTTTCTTGCCCATTCGTTGGCGTTGTCTCTGCTCCCACTCTCTCCCCTTTCCCTCCCACTCTCTTGTCCGCCAACTGAGAGAGAGAGCAGAGAGGCGACCAGACCACCGCCCCCGCTTCCGCCCGCGGCGGCCCAACGCAAAATAAACTCTTGTGTGCGTGCTTTGTAACGAGTACAATTTTCTGCACATACAAAAAAGAAAGACCGAATAAAGAAATTCACATAAATTTATGGTACAATTGTCGCCCTCTTCCTCACCCACTCTCTTTTTATTTTCACCGTCTGTGTCGCCGTCTCTTTTGCGAGTGCGTGTGCGAATGTGTGTGTTAAATTTTAAAAAACAGTTGTTTTCACGGAAAGGGAACTTTCGTAGCGTTGCGTTGCGCTGCTCGCGCCTCTGTATTTTTAGACGGCAAGCTCCTTTCGGAAATTATTTATAACCCCCCTCGAAATGTTTCCACGCAACAATTTACGCGATAAACTTTTACAAACTATTCAAAGTATATGCACAAAACCCACTTATTTTCGTCTGTAAGTTCCGCCTGAGAATCAACTTTTCCCACTTACATACTACGTATTTGCTTACGTACATACTTGTGAATGTATTTATGAAATATTACTGTGCGTAGGTCGGCCGGAGGGCGTGTGTGCGGCGGCCCACAATTTCCACAGACACAGCCACACACATTTTCCTTGCGGAAAAGCATTAAAAATGCAGGCCCCTTCGGAATCGGGGGCGTGGCACCTCTCCCCAATTAATGTGCGATCAATAAAAGCACTTACATATTCCCAACACTCTGCCAAAAACTCTTTTAACCTCTCTGCCCCCATTTTCATCCTTTCCGACAAAATCTGGGAAAAGTTCTTCAATGACAAAGGAAACGAAGTTAGGTTAGCTGCTAAAATTTTCGTGTTGTTTGTATTAATTATAAGTGTGAGGTATTAATTAGGACTGAATAAGGTTGACAAATTCCCAAAAAGTTTGCTGTGATGCTGTTTCTTAGTTCCATAAATGAAAAAAATTAACCTTAATTCTTATACATTAACTTAAAAGTGAATAGAAACGTGAATCACAACAATTTCATTGTCATTACCACATCGAAAGTACTGAAAGTCGATTAAAAAAGATAGTGAATCATTAATAAGAAGTAATACTTGGAAAAATACTGTCAAACTTATTTACCTGGAATCGAAATAAGCTGTGATTAAGATATATAAACTTTTATTGTCATTTATTACTATTATTTATGTCATAAACATTTCGAAACCTAATTATAATATTTGTATACTTGAAGACGAAAAAAAAAAAACACTAGAATCGGACTTAATATCCAAAAATTATTATTAAGTTGTGCAAACTAAAGAACATGGGTGAATTTGCGGAAAATTTAGAACGGATTGCCCTGGATCTTATAAAAAACATGGTGCGTGGCGACGCAACTTTAAGGGTTCCCCAGAACCCGGCTTCAGTCGTCGCAACCAGACCATTTCGACGAGTTTCCTATAACAATCGCAGAAGCCGGCACAGCTTCTGCCTACTGGTTTACATGCTGGCCAAGACGCATCGATTGCAGGTGCACGGAGGCAGCTACACCGTCCGCGGACTCTACTATGGCGATCCGCAGCTCTTTCGCTCGCAGTCTAGGATTGCATCAGCTCGCCTGGATGTCTGTCGCATGCTGGGTACTTCCCCGCTGCAGCTTGGTGTACTGGCCGCCTCCAAAGGTTTAATGGCAGGTAAGCACCTCCTGACCAAAGGCTCCTCTTTTCGGTTTCTGATCGATTGGTTCTCCTCACAGGCAATATCCGGCTGCTGATGGTCAATGGGGATGTTCTGGACTGCAGCTCATACGGTGGCGCCATGACGCTGCCCACGGATCCCGAGAAGGTGGACAGCATAGAAACGCAGGCGGATCTTGTGGTCATCGTCGAGAAGGAGTCGGTTTTCGAGAGTCTTGTATCCGGGAATATATTTTCAACTTTTGGACGTAGCTTGATCCTCATAACGGGCAAGGGATACCCTGATTGCTGCACCCGGAGGATTGTCTATAGACTGGCGCATGAGAATCGCCTGCCCGCGTATATTCTAGTGGATGCCGATCCCTTTGGCATCGAGATAATGCATACCTATCGTCACGGCTCCAAGGCCATGAGCTTTTCCAGCCATGGACTTGCCACACCTTCGTTGCGTTGGATTGGGCTCCACCCCTCCGAGATTCCCGTGCTCGGCCGCCAAGCGGTTGCCTTGGGCACCGGCGACAACAAAAAAATCAATGACCTTCTCGCTCGCAGCGATTTGGAGCCGGGAGTGCGCCAGGAGCTGCGCATAATGCAGGAGGTTCAGCTGAAGGCCGAAATTGAGAGTGTCATCGACTTCCTGGCCGACGACTACATACCGAACAAAATCAATCGCAAATTATATTTGTAAAAGTCAGAGGGATTCCCCTTTTGACAAAGCGATAACTCAATAGTTCATTACTCTTAAGTTGAAAGTGAACAATCTATAGAAATTTGATAAGAATATGTTGTTAATGGTAAGGAGGGCCTCCATCCGCGTAATCGTTGAATAAACAAATTAAAGTATAAATCCGCTGATTACGCAAATAATGAAAAAAGCAATTAAAGCTTTAGTACCCCTTGGATTATGTTCTGAGATCAAGGTTTATTGACGATGTGGTATAAGTAAACTTGGGAATGTCCAAGTCAAATAAGATCCTAAAGTATTTTAATATTATTGAAGAAGTTATTAGGTATTGACACATGCTTGAGTCAGTATTGGTTACCATTTCATTGTTGAGAGCTTGCTAAGGGGTGGTATTTTAAATCGAAGTGGAATTGAAGGAATATATTTACGTATATGTAGGTGCTGGCCAAATCAAGTAGACAAAGGAGATTGTTTATGGTGGCCCTAAATATTTTAGTGCCTTGAGGTCGGCAATCAGAATTATTCGGGTTACTGATAGCGTTAATGGTCTGACTAGCACGTGAATGACTTTTTAAAATTTTTATTAATTTGCCTATTCTTTATTGCAGATGTAAAGGAGCTCCATGTATGGGAGAAACCCACTGGGCATTTGACTAATCTCAAGCGGTGAAACTTGAAAGACTCCCCTGAAAATACTCGAATCTCACGTTTGTTGTGGACTCACGCAACCGCACTGAATCTCTAAAAGCACCTGGACAACAATATGTCGACTGCAATGCGTACCACACTGCAGCCAGTTCCTGAAGCCCTGCCAGCGGAGAGCGTGTCGAATGGCACGGCATCCAGCGTTGCGGCACCGGCGCCGCCAGCGTCGAGTGCCACAACTGCGGCGCCACCGTTGGCCGCCGTCTCCAGCACAAACACCACCTACGCCACCAACTCGATCAGCACATCTTCGCATTCTGTCAAGGATCAGCAGCAGCAACAGCAGCATGATTCCGTCAATGCCAACATTGTGTCACTGCCACCAACGACAACGTCAGCCGCCAACACGACAATGATGCCCATCGTTACGTCCTCGAATACGGCTAGCAGCAATAGCACTGCTGCCACGCCGACACCGACCTCGGCGGCGGTACCAGTTGCAGCGACAGCGACAACGGGATCGGGAACGGGATCAGTTACACCCGCGCCCGTTTCGGTGGCATCGGCCAACACCAATCACTCGCACCAGCACAGCCACCAGCACCACCATCATGTGGCCAACAATATGACCACGGATGGCGCCCGATTGTCTAGCAATAACTCGTCGGCGGTGCCTGGCTCTGCGATCAACCACCACCACCACCATGCACCTGGCAGCGGTGTGGCGCCTGCCGTCAACAAGAACGTACTCAGCACCCATTCGGCTCACCCCTCCGCGATCAAGCAGCGAACTACGTCCGCCAAGGTGAGTCCTTATTCCATTTCCGAAACTCCCGTATCTGTCACCCGTCTCCGTCTCTATATATCGTCTTTTTTGGGAGCCATGTTCGTAATCCTATTGCTCAAGGTTCTGTGGTCGGGGGTCTTTATACTCAAAAGTATTCATTGACTTATTTATAAAGTTAACTTCCGTTAATAAATTCACATTAACATTGTATTGAAAAGCTAGAATATTTTATTTACATTTTTGGAAATTGTTATAACATTTAAAGTTCAGAAAATAATTAAAGCAATTAAGGAATCAAACATTTTAAGGTTTTTACTAAAATACTATATTAACTTTATTGAACTTTTGTTATACGATTTTTTATATTGGGGGGATTCGAACTTGGCTAGCTAACTTAAGGGTCAACCCCATTTGTCTCTTGTGACGTATTAAACATGTCCCAGTTTCTTGTAGGGGAGGCGGTAAACGTATTTGTATACAAAAATGCATCATCTTCATCTTCTGTTTTAATATTTAAATTGTCTGAATTATTCATTTGCTTATTTGTACCATTAAATGTATTTCATGCTAAAAGGAATCACAACAAATCCCGTATAGATTGACGTATTTCGGAGATAAGATTTGTGAATTCAATGTCAAATCAGAATGAATTGAATATATGAATACGTATTAAAACGTTTAACAATTTCTTGGTAATGTTGAGATCTTAAAAACTTGAGTGTGGTATTTATAATAATGAATGATTATCATTAAAGTCCCCATTCATTTATTATTTAACTAAGAATTGAGCTTACGAAATGGATCTGTAATACAGTATCGTAACGGAAGTAATACTTTCACCAATGACTACTGCTCATCAAAGCCCCTTTCGTGACATTCAATAATTATTATAGTGGAAACTAAATCGGTTAATGTATGAAATTACTGTATAGTTAGTTAGCGTCTGTAAAATGTGGGTGGCTTAGCACCTTCTTAAGTTCTAGTATCATATGCTAATGGAGGGCAACAAAACTAAGAGTACTTGCTAATTGGTAATCCACACATGGTCTACAGAGTATTTTGGGAGAGAGACTACTTGTGTGAGTCAACAAAGCCGAGTTGATGTTCATTCATTCAAAAATGCAATTATAATACATGAGCCATGTTCGATACTTCCAACACATCTATAGCTCCATCTCGCTTCTCTAGTTTCCGATCTCTCTCTATCTCTTTGTTGTCTAAGCCAAATCCGTGAGATCTCTGGTTTTTTTCAACACAAGCATACAACTGTTTTGATTTTAAATATTTTTCCAGCGTATGTGTGTGCTTTTATCAAGCATACACACTTGTTATTCTTAGTTAGTTGTCATGGTGTGTGTAAATAAGCTTAACTAGCTGCCTTTGTGGGTGTTAGGTGTAAAATCGTGAGATACTATAGTTATAGAGGTCTCAATCTCAACTTTCTGTATTAACTTTGGTATTTCTCACCATCTTAGTTTTTCACAGGCTTCTTTGGTTCTCCAGTTTTGAAATCTGTTTGGGTCTCTGTTTCCATCTTCAAAATTATCCTTTAAATTTTATAAAACATTAAAGATTTCTATTCGTAAATCTTTCTTCATATCTTTAAGAATAATTCGTATAGAATCCATTCGAAGCTTTGAGGATTTTCTTTCAAGATTTATCGTTTAAGAAAGATTCCAATTTAATTATTATTTTCTTATGTCTCCAAGAATCTCGTTTTGAAATCAATCCTTTTTTAATAACCGTTTTGGAGACCTCCATGGGGCTCTCAAATTTTTCTGCTGAATTGTTTATTATGTTTTAATTTTTTTTTTTTTTTTTGCTATGGATATTTAGTGGACTGTAAGCTCGGCTTGCAGACGAGCTGTCTCTTCTTCTTCGCTGGAGATCCCTTTGTCAAAGCTCTCTCTTTTAAGTTCTCTTTTGGAAGTTTCTCAATGTTTGGCGAGCAATGTTCCTACAAGTTTTGCCGTCAGTGCGTATGCGAGTGTGTGTGTGTGTGTGTCTGTGGCTATGAATCACCTGTAATTACCTGCAGATTGCATTCGCTTCGTAGGGTGTGTCGTTGTCTTGGATAAAATCAGCAACAACAACGACCTTCCCAGTCGGAGAACTTTGGCGAAAATGCCAAGCTCGCTCGCCACATCCACATAACACAGCCACACAACATCCACACACACTGAAGCGCCCAACCACAGTCCACAATGGCAGCCAGCAGCAGCACAGCGATGGATGGTCGAAAGCTTGTTTTAGTATTAAGTTCCACTTCATTCGTGTGGTCACCGTCGCGTTCGCAGCGCCGTTGTTTCTGTTTCGGTTTCGCTTGTCATTATCCGTCGCTCTCCACCGATATCGTCGCCGTACAGAGCTATATTGTAGTTGTATCGTTATCGGGTTTTGTTTTTTTTTTCTTTCCTTTCCCCTTTTCCAATTTTTAATTCGCCTCGCCCACCACTTATTATCGCACAAGCACAAGGGACGACGACGGAGGTTACGTCAAAACAATACAAAATAACACAAAAACAAGCAAATTATAGTGTAAAAGTTGGAGAGATTGTAATAAAAGCACCAACGCGCAGTTCGCTGCCGTAATCCTAGTCCCGATCCCGAGTTACAACATCCGCGATAAAGAAAGTCACACACTGGTTAATCTGATCTGATCAGCGAGCAGCTCAGAATGAAATCAAGGGCATGAGTACGCAGCTTAAAATAAACCAAATTGACGCGGGGAAAGGTCACGGGAACCGCGGAGCAGTCACAGTCACAATTTACAGTCACTAAATATGTACAAAGTACACACGCACGTGTGCGGCGGGTTCTATTTTCGAAGTAAATTCGGTTAAATAGTGTTTAATTTATAAAATTTCCAGAGTGAGCTTGGCTTATGAAATGTGTGTGTATTTGTGTATGGGTTTACGTACTCAATATGCGTGTGTGTGTTGCTGTTCCAGTGAAATATATCCGTTTAAGCCAGCACTATATCTCGCAGAATATACATTGAGAAATGAGCCAATTGCGGGTGATAAGTTAATTTAATTATAAAATACCAGTACGAAAGCAACAACAAGTAGTAGTGCAAGCAAAAAGAACGAAAGCGGAATGAAAAGCAAAAAAGAAAGAAAAATGAATAAATTCCTACTCACACGCACGCAAAAGCAACAGACTTTCTGCGGTGGTGTGCGTGTAAGTAACGCTTAAACAACGTAAACGAGGTAACTAGAAGAGAGGCAGAGTCAGAGTCAGCGACTTAGGCAGAGGGAGGGTGAGGGCGAGAAGGAATAACAGAAATAGCTTTTGCCCCAACGTGTGGGGCTTCATCGCGTTGTCTCTTTAACGCTGATGTTGTTTTTTTTTGCTGGTCAGCTACTATCTGTATCTGCGTTTTCGCCTTTGCAGCCATCGGGCGTGCCAAGGCTTGCGATCCACTCGCACACACATGAACAGTCGCCAGTCAAGATGGAACGCGTGTGGAACTTATCGCGAGTGTCTTATGTCCACAAAAACCACACTGGCAAATACACAACAAACCCACACAGAGACAACTGTGTAAAGTGCGATAACTGATAAGAGAGCGACAAGTGTCTGTTTCTATCTAAAACCACCCACCGAACGTCCGTTCGCCGCGAACCCACCCCCTCTTTCCACCCCCACTGTTGGTCATGTAAGCAACAAGTTTGCAAATATTCGAGATCTACAAAAAAGAATAAAAAGGGAAGGAAGAAGGAAAAGATAATCCACTGTGTATGCACAGAGAAAAAAGACTTCAGAAAATTTTGCAAACAAACCTATCTAGTTAAACTACTGAAATTCTTTTTAAAGAAATCTCGTTAAAAGCAGATTAATCGAAATCTGATCAGATAAAAAACTATGAACATGTAGTATATGTATAAATAATGGGCTATGTGGACAATAAGTTTGTCAATATTTGAGTTATACCAGCAGAAAATTTCTATATAGTATGAAAAGAAGAACATTGAGTACTGAGTTAATAGTTAAGGGGGTTTGACTTATTAATTAATTTAATCTAGTCAAACTGGATGTTGAGAAATATAAGTGTTAACTGGTTAATATGCATCCGTGAAAATCTATAAACAACCCTGACAGATGGTTAAATACACCAAATCTGATTTCTCTGTGCATTATAAACCAACCAAATGGTGTAAAAATAAATACTGATTTTTTGTGACTGTGATTGTGACTGAGCCAGTGACTTTTACTGCGACTGAGTCTTCAATGTTCGCTCATTGTGTTCTAATAGAATTTAACAAGATGGACTTTTTGGAATAAAAGCAACAAAGCTGTGCCTGAATTGTGATTGTTCCATCAAACAAACACACCAACTAAAGCAAGCCTCACCGACAGACCAAATTTATTCATACTTTTATATGCACACAACCTGCCGCGTTCAGGGCTCTCAATGTTTACTCACGTAAGTCGCGGTGAGAATTGCCAACGCGAAGACCGAGGGAATATGTGTCACAGTTTCGTTGCAACTGGGCCAATAATTCACCGATAGCACACCAACGAAATCCACCAAGAACGAGAGTTAGGACAGTCGGAACCACCCACCACCAACAGCCACCGACCAAAGTACCCTTACCCGCCGCACCATGGGCCAGACCTCCAGTCACCGGCAGATGCACTCAAGCAGCAGTGGCGGCCACAATAACAACAATAAGGAGGAGCCGCAACTGGCAGCCACACAATTCGGCAATCGGCGAACATCAACTCGCAAGTCGACAACGTCGTCGTCGTCGAAGCATTACCCCACGCTGGTGCAGCCATTGCGTAAGGACGAGCTCTCCCTATTGCGAGACTCTCTCCTGCGCAATGGCAGCATAATGCGCAAGAATCCGGAGCGGCGGCCGGTTACGATCAGCGAGCTGAAGCCGGCGGCTGCTCCTGGTCAGGGGGCCAGTGGAAGCGCCTTACCCACAACCACCGAGGAGGCGGCGGGAAGTAGCACCACTAGTACCACCCAGCTGATGGCCTTCCAGCTTCGGGTAGATCGCAGTGCCAAGACTGACGACCTGGCCGCCGATTCCTCCTCTGTGGGGGCTCCGGCCAAGGAGGGACGTAACGAATTCTACATTGTGGGTGATGGTTATCATCGCACGGATCACTGCTATTACCGCAGTCCGAACGGAGATTTCCACAAGCTTCCATCCGATTCATTTCACAAAATGTCGGAGGGATGTTTCGTCCGCATGGCGGATGGAGTGTTCCGTAGGCTGGAGGTGCCCACTAAGGCTCAGATATCGCGAAGGTCTTCCAGAGCAGAGGAAATCGGCGATGCTGCTAGTCACGCGAACGGGAGTGCAGCCACCAATGTGAAGAGCCAGCTGATGAGATTTTTGAAGCGCTCTAAGAGTCACACGCCTGCCACTATTGCCAAGCTGCAGAAGGAGAAGGAAGAGGCACGGGCGGAACGGAAACAGCGACTTTCAAACGCCATGCGTCAGAAAAACCTTGCGGCCACGAATGCAGCATCTGCGGCAGGAAATTCATCCTACGGCACAGCTACAGGTGGCGGTGGTGGTACTGTCAGCAGTCGGAACAACAAGATCGTGGTGACGATGATCGAAAATGGCGGCCTGCCTATTGTGGCCACCAGCAAAGCTGAGAGGCCCAAAGCCAAGGAGACCACATCATCCAGTGAAAAGGCGCGAACCTCAAGGGTACGTATCTATGGTCATGGGTGGAATATGGATAAAAGGGGGCTTTATACTACAGATATAAAAATATAATGAAAAGTAGGGTTTTATTGAAGCTGACGAAAAGTGAAAAACCCTTGAACTTGTTGACTATGTGGTTTGAGCTTCAGGGCTATATTTGTTGTGATTTAGCTCCCCTTAAGAGTCATAAAGCTTGTCGGTCCCCACACCTTTTTCTGAATGTTGTCAAGTTTGCCATCTCTTTCACCTCACCACCTTTTTCATTCAATCTAATCGTAATCGCTGTTTTGTTGTTGTTTTGCATACCACAAAGTGTCTGTATCTGTTACGGTTTTGGTTTGTGTTCCACAATCAAAAGATTTACGATTCGTTTATTGACATTTCTATTATTTTGATTACGGATTTTGTTCTATTTCAGATTTTTGTTACCCCACACATTGATTCTCCATAATCCATACGGAAACTAATAATTTTCAGTCCTATAGCTTAACCTTCCATTACAGGACCTAATAATGTTATATTATTAGGTTTAAGGATTAGATTTAGGTGTAAATAATTGCCGTACGGTTAAAGAAACGGTCGCACTTTAGTGGGGACGACACGTTCACTGTCACTGTACAAGCGAAACTTGGAGCTGTATCTCTCTAATGTTTTTGTTTGGACTTGAAAGGCTTGACTGAAATCTCGTTGTCTTGTTTTAATATAGATTAAGCTGCAAGTTATTCAATTAGCTCAATTAATACGGACACGTCCGAGCGGCTCGGCTGCTAGATACCTCGTCCTATCTAATTGAACCCAACTTGACATGCCTGGTTGAATACAGAATGATCCAATAAGCATATTAGACATTTTCTGTTATTTTATAGCAACAATAGTTTCCCGGTTTGCCACTTTATTTGTTTCCTCATATGCAACTTGTTAATGTGTCTTAGGTCCTGTTGCATCACAATTTTAGCTATTTGTTTTATTAACGAATTCCATTATATCGCATCGTATATTCCACATAAACACATAGCCCAGTTCTCTTTTCATCCGGACCTAGAATTCAGTTACTGGACTAATTGCAAATAAACAAGATAAAAGACGGGTTTTTTATAGAAAAACTTGTTCTCCATCTGATGACACATCTATTAGGAAGTGAATGCAAATTCTTTCAAACTTTCGTTGCCGTCCAATTGTTGTTCTTACGATTAGCGATGTCAAAAGTAGTAGTATCTTTTTGGGTTTTGGTAGAATGCAAATACTAAGCTTTCCTATTATCATCAATCATTGACAATTAAATTCAGCAGAAAAATATAATTTGTTTGTACACTTGGGAACGACATTGGGCATTTATTTTTTTAAAGAGAACCTTTGTGAAATGTTGTGCTTTTAAAGATATTTAAAGACCCCTTCTATACCAAATAGACTTACGTAAACGAAAGTAAACCTTATTTGTGATTAAAGCTTATATTTTTTGTATGTGTGCTTAGAGGGATATTTTTAGGAAATTTTTCTTGGTAGATAACTAAAGTTTTGCTTGTTCAGGTATTTCTTTGTCTATGTGTATTTCCTTTCCTAAGTTTAAGAGATAACCCAAGTGTCTTGATCGCTATAACTCGAACTAAATTGGCGATTTCTGTAGCCTGACTTGTTAAGTTCGAAATCTATATTGGATTCACTGCACATAAGAGTGTTTTCCTTTCAGAATTTACAATATTCTGGACAACATTTGTTATTTTGAAAAACTCCTTCTTGATAGTACATTGCCCTGATGTACCTGGTCTTATTGCGCTTAAAAGGAAGATGTTTCCAATAATCTAATAGAACGTGTTTTTCCTTTTCTGATTTTAAGAGATAACAGCCGATGAGTCCGATCGCTATATTATAGAGATACAAAGAGGAAGAAGCGCTTTGCGTAACCCAGGGAACCCGTGTATTGCGCACATGCGCACTCTGCTAATCTGTGGCAGCAAACACAGTTAACACAGTTCCTTCCCAGCGTTACGCTCAGGTGATATCAGTGGAACTCACACATACAGGCACACCTCCGCGTTCGTAAATCAGCGCTCCAAATGGGGCTGCTCTTTTGTGGGAGAATAGATGCACAGATACTTGACTTGGTAGTGGTTCTCCATACTGGTGGAGAGAGAGATCTGCCCACTGATCGTGTGGGGCTATGTGTGTATTAAGGCCGACGGCTCAGCTACCGCCGCTGCCGCAGTCGCAGTCGACGCCAACGTCACTGATTCCGTGCCTTGGAGTACTCGCCCGCTCTCGCTCTCCGGCACTCCAGTTCCAGTTGCTGAGTTGCTGAGTTGCTTCTGCTTCTGCTGCTGACGCCGCTGCTGGTGCTAGTGCTGCTCTGGTGTGGCCAAGTGGCTCTTTGGCTGCTGAGCTGTTGCTTGCCGTATATTTTGTGTCTTCTGTGTGTTTTCCGTGTGTGTTGTTGTTTCCCTTCGCAGAAGTCAGTATAGTGGTGGTTTACGTCAGAGTTACAGAGCAAAGGAGCAGGCTATAATTCGATACAGCGAGTGCGAAAAGTTGCGAAAGCCGCGTGCCTCCGATAAGATAAGCGCGGCTAAAGAACTCCTACCAACCAACCGAGCGAGCGACTGACGAAACGAACCTTTAATAATCGGGATTTGCGCGAAATGTGATTTTTTTTATTGTCAAAGTCAAAGTGAAAAAGCAAAACCCATACACTGAAGCACAAAATATATATAACCTAACTGTTTTCAGCAGTGAAAAAGTCGGCTCAATTGTCTAAAAGTAGTTCATTTGCTTTCGTGTGAGCTGTGTTTGTGTGTGAGAAACCAGCTGTGGTTGTGTGTGTGCGTGTGCATTGGAGCTTTTCGCTTTGCTCACTGAACCAGCGACGAAGAAAAAACTAAAAAAAAGCGTTAAAAACTAACGAACGTACATATTTCCAGATACTTGTGTAGATCTCCGCCACAGTGTAACTATTTAGACAGTAATTAAAGCAACAAAGGAAAATAGCGAAAAGGCAAATGAATCATAAAAACGAAAAAAAGAGCTTGGCAGTGTTATGGGTAGGAGGAAGGGGGGGAAAGCAAGAAAAGCGTGACACACGAGTGCGAGGGGGAGCGAGAGAGTGAGCAAGCGAGAGCATCTCAGCTGGGCTTGTGCAACAGCAGCAGCAGCAGAGAGCGAGAGAAAACAAACACACTTACGCACACACACTAACTCGCTCACCTCGCACAGGTGTGTGCGTGTAGGTGCCCGACTCTCTGGCTCTCTCCCGTCTCCTTGTCCTCCTCCACACCTCTCTGCCCGTTTTGGGGAGTGTGTAGGTATAGCTCTCCCTCTCGCTCCCGCACGTTGCTGTGTGTTTATTTCAGTGTCACCGGGGAGACAGATTAGCTCTTGTCCGCCTGTTGTCGTAAATATAACGCACACACTGGCACAGTCAACATACATACATGCATACATTTATATAAATGGAAGTTGGTGCTGCCTGTGCTGGCTGTGTGTTTAATTCATTTTCGAGGTTTTAATGCGCAACAACTGCGACTAGGAGACAAAAAAAAATATATAAAAAAAAAAAAAAAACAAACAAAAGCTCCGTTGAGAATTTAGAAAGCCAAATGTAAACACACACGCAGCTGTGTGAGTGTAGGTGTAGGTGTGTTGCATTGCGTTGTACTTCCGAAAACTAAAAAAAAGAACAAACCCGGGTCGTTAGCAAAGCAAAATCTTAAGCCGCCACACACGCTCGCACACAAAGTCCATTCAATAATTTTCCAAAAACTAAACTTCCAGTGTAAGAACAATAAACAGAAAGCAAAAAGAAAAAGAAAAAGTTGCGATCTCTCCGAGCAACAAGTACTGGTGCACTAATACAAACACGCGCGCGAAGAAGATAGTGCCACGACAAAAGAGAAAGAAAACAGAAAAGGAGCAGCAGCTTAAAGAGAGAGAAACCAAAGCCGAAAGTTAAACGGAGAGGAGCGCAATGGAGGCCACCGGCAGCACCACGACACCGGACTTGAATCGCGGCGATGCCACCAGGAAGAGTGTCCGCCTGTATGCCGCCCGCAAGGGGGCGGCACCGGCGCCGCCCAAGCTCAGCGTTGCAACCCCCTCCAGTTCCGCCAGCAACCAAACTAATAATAATAATAACAATATAAGCAGCAGTGACAACTTGCCAGCAACGGAAGTGGAGCAAACATATCTTGCCACCAAGGATCTCGGATCCCTCGCAATCGCCGATGATGAAAGCGTTGTGGAGCTACGCCGACGAGAAGTGAAGGCTGCTCCGCTGCCCCGAATAGCAGTGTCCGCCCTCCCCACGCTTCAGCCCCATCCGCAGCCCAGGGCCCCGGAACGCCAACAGAAGCTTCCGGCGCCGCGCAACCTGCTGTCCACCGAGGACGATGCCGGGGTATCCTTTGCCCTCGGCTCCATCGAGAAGCACATCCACAACGTGGAGGAGAGCTTTAAGCAGCATCAACAGCAGCAGCAAAACTCCCAATCCTCGATGGACGTAATGAAGATGGAAATAAAGCGCAAGCAGAGCAAGCGTTATGGCGAAACAGAGAACCTGCTACGGCCGGGCATCAGTGACATGTCCTCGGAGAATGATTTCCAGTATTTGGGCGGCCGCAGAGCCGGCGAACTGGACGAAAGCAATGAGCTGATGCTCTCGGAATTCCAGCGCGGCAGCGACGGTCGCAGTTCAATTGGTGCCTACTCCAAGAACTCGGCGGCAGCATCCAGCGGCGCGAACGCTGTAAAGGCTAAGCTGGCACGCACAGCCTCCGATACCAAAAACAATGATACCGTGCTGGCCATGCGAGCCACTCTCAAGCAAAAACAGCACATCCAGGACGAGAAGCAGCCGGCGGTGTGGCGGCCAGCAGGCACCGCGCCCACTCCGGCGGCCCGAAGTTCCTTCACCACATCCAACTCCTCAGCTGTCTCCGGGTCAGCTAGTCGCGGAGGCAGTAGTAACAGTGTGGTGGACGGTGTGGCTCCATCCAAAGTGACAGCCACAACCATTTCGGCGGCCAAACGACGAGAGGAGAATCTGCGGCAATTTGAAGCTTTGCTGGCACAAAAGTCCTCCCACCGACAGGCTTCCTCAGGAGGAGGAGGATCAGGCGCATCGGGCGCGGCCAGCTCTAAGCGCCGTTCAGAGCGACCAATTGTGGCGCCCATTCCGCCGTATAACTCCAGCCGGACAGAGCATGTTACGACCAGCAGCTCTGCCAGTAGCTCAGCCAGAGCTAGCGCGGATCACAGATCCACTGAGACGCATGGTTCGGGATCTGGGTCTGGGTCTGGGGCTGCTGCCCCGCCGCCGGTGGGACACCATCGTAGTAGCCACGCTCCCAGTGCGGTGACGAACCGCAGCAATGTATACAGCAACCATGTTGCACAGGTAAAAATGAAGCATCTAGGGAGGTATTTCAATTAAAAATAAAATAAACTAATTATACGACGGTTTACAGGAATTCCTGTACAATTTCTAGGAGTATAAATTGTTATTCTTAAAATTTTAATAATTTAAAAGTAGTAAAAAGTCACAACAATAACCCTAAGTAAAAACGTACAAATTTAAAGTGAACAAGATTTTTATCCCCTTCTTCTAGAAACACTTTATTCTTCAATTAAGACCTTTAATGGGGAAAAATAGTTATTGTTACACTTGAAAAAATACATTTACTTATGGTTTACTTGCCTTATTATTACAGGGTTCGCCCAACATGCAGATGCGGAGTAGTGCTCCTATGCGATGGCGTGCTACGGAGGAACACATTGGCAAATACAAACTCATCAAGACGATTGGCAAGGGCAACTTTGCCAAGGTGAAACTGGCTAAGCACCTGCCCACCGGCAAGGAGGTGGCCATCAAGATAATTGACAAGACCCAACTCAATCCTGGGTCACTTCAGAAACTCTTCAGGGAGGTTAGTTTTTATCAATTAATATTTATAGACCAGTGGGACTAACCCCATTACCCACCGATCACAGGTTAGGATAATGAAGATGCTGGATCACCCCAACATAGTTAAATTGTTCCAAGTAATAGAAACGGAGAAGACGCTTTATCTGATCATGGAGTATGCGTCTGGTGGCGAAGTTTTCGACTATCTGGTTCTACACGGACGCATGAAGGAGAAGGAGGCACGCGTTAAGTTTCGACAAATTGTCTCAGCTGTGCAATACTGTCATCAAAAGAGAATAATACACAGGTACGCATTTGGAATACGTCTTAATACGATCATTTAAATTTGATATAATATATTAATATCTTCTCCAAACAGGGACTTAAAAGCTGAAAACCTTTTGCTGGACAGCGAACTAAACATTAAAATCGCAGACTTTGGCTTTTCAAACGAATTCACGCCCGGCTCCAAGCTGGACACGTTCTGTGGCAGTCCACCGTACGCGGCCCCAGAATTGTTTCAGGGAAAGAAGTACGATGGTCCCGAGGTTGATGTTTGGTCGCTGGGTGTCATCCTGTATACGTTAGTGAGCGGTTCCCTCCCCTTTGACGGCTCCACATTGAGGGAGCTGCGCGAGCGTGTGCTCAGAGGCAAATATAGGTGAGTGGGCTGTGATCCTCCGGTGAATTCTAACCTAAAGTTGCATATATATTCTTGCAGAATTCCCTTCTATATGTCAACTGACTGCGAAAACTTGCTCCGAAAATTCTTAGTACTGAATCCCGCAAAGCGTGCTAGTCTGGAAACAATCATGGGCGACAAGTGGATGAACATGGGGTTTGAGGAGGACGAACTCAAGCCCTACATTGAGCCCAAGGCCGATTTAGCCGATCCCAAGCGGATAGGTAAGACGGGTACTGTATACGAAATTCATTACTAATATTATTAACAGAATTGTGTGTGGAATGGAGTGTTCTGCCTGCCAATTGCTTCCTCTGTTCTCTTACCTCTTGTATTTGCTATGTAATCTTACTAATATTTTTGTGTCAAACTCTTTATTCTATATCGAAATGCTATTGTTTTGATTTTGTAGTCAATTGCTGTTGTTCTTTGCCCGGGACTCTCCCGTGTTTTTTTTATCCTTTTAAATATATGTATATGCCATCATGGTTTTTCGTTTTGTAAATTCTCACACATAGCTGCGGGGTCACAAACCGGTGTCAAGAATTCGCTCTCGATACGGCGTAGTGCATACAACTTGATGTTGATGGTGAATTTTCTGATCGACGAGCGGAAGGTGCCGCGGCCATCGTCACGGCCAATGCCACCCAAAAATGTATGCAATCATCCCGTGAATGTAGTGAAACACTCGAAACTTTCGCTGCGCAGAGAGCATTCCGCATTAACCCAAAACTACTCTCTGTTCTCTTTCTCACTTTCTGTCCGCAAAACAATCAAACAGAATGTCCTGGAAGAGACGTCGTCGTCAGATAGCCAACCGCCGGTTCAAGAGATCGGATGAAATATTGAATAAACCACGTTAAATCTTGTACAGCCAGCCAAAGGGAAAATTGAAATTTATTTTTCTTTTCTTTTCTTTTGTGTACTTTGGTTTTTGTATTGTGTTAGTCGTTGTTGCCACTGTGAATTACCATCTGTATCTGCACACGCTGTGAAAAAGAGAAATAAATTGTGTTCTCTGCGAAAATGCTACTTTACTTCAATTCAATTTACGTCGACAAACGCGGTCTCGCTCAAAAATAGGCTGAAAATTGCATCCGGTTTGGGTCCTGCCACGGCGGTGTATAGTTTTCATTTCGTTAGCTGCATGGCCATATTTAAAATAATACATAATTTCTAGTTTTTTAACCCAATTGTTCAGTTGTTGAAGGCCAAGAAAATACACACAATTCCGGCTACTCCAATTATCGGCGATCTGTTATTAGCCAAAAACATAATATAATGTATCTGTAATGAATTTGCATGCGCTATCTAAATGTACTAAAATTGTTTCGGAGTTTGTCCTGAAATCCACCTACAACAACTCACACCCAATCTGTTTTGTAATTTCCGCATCGCGATGCTCAGAAGCTCTAGTCGCGATGGGCTACAATCGGCAGGATATCGAGGCTTCGCTCTCGCAGGTGCGCTACGACGACGTGTTCGCCACGTATTTGCTGCTGGGACGTAAGAGCACGGACGTAAGTACAACGAGAGTACAATTCAGGTCGTGTGCTAAAGAAGAGTTTTTCTCCTCAAACTGCAGCCGGAAAGTGATGGATCGCGGTCTGGCTCGTCGCTATCACTGCGCAACATCTCGGGCAACGATGCAGGCGCCAACGCTGGCAGTGCGAGTGTGCAGAGTCCCACGCATCGGGGTGTCCACCGGAGCATATCGGCGTCCAGCACGAAGCCTAGTCGCCGAGCCTCGTCCGGTGCGGAAACATTGCGTAAGTCCCATTTTTTGGGGCTAACGATCTATAATTTATTTTTTGTGCCGTAGAAGCTCTCTTAGTCTGACTTTCATATTTCAATATTTTCAAATTTAATTAATATTTTGACAAGAAACTAACCAAGTGAATGTTTAGGACATAACGCTGTAAAGACATTACTCACTCGTTTTTTATGGACCTACTGACAGCTCAAATCGTAAAATTCTCTTTCAAAAATCGTTGTAATCTGTGATCACGTACTCTTAACCTGCTCGTTTCTATATGAAAGTTGTCTGTCAAGGAAGAAAGTCTATATGTTTGGATAAAATAATGCAAAGGAGAGCTTTTACAGTTGCTTAATGTCATTGTCACTGTCATCATGTATTCTAATGATTTAATATTTATTTACAGGCGTTGGACCTACAAACGCTACAGCAACTGTGGCTGCGGCGGCGGCAGCTGGCGGAGGCGTCGGTTCTGTAAATCCAAGCAATAATTACAATGCTGCAGGATCAGCAGCGGATCGAGCGTCAGTGTAAGAGAAGCACCTGCTTACTAGCATGAGAAAACAAAAGTTATTAATTTCTATTCCCCCTTTGGATAGTGGCAGCAACTTTAAGCGTCAGAATACAATCGATTCGGCTACGATTAAAGAGAACACAGCGCGACTTGCCGCACAAAATCAGAGACCCGCTTCGGCCACCCAAAAGATGCTCACCACGGCAGACACAAGTAAGGGCATAAAAAGATTATCGAATGCGGCATATTTTGAACATATTTTTGATTTCCTTACAGCATTGAACAGTCCCGCCAAGCCGCGAACGGCAACGAAGTACGACCCGACGAACGGCAATCGCACAGTTAGCGGCACCAGTGGCATCATTCCACGCCGCTCCACCACGCTGTATGAAAAGACTTCGTCGACGGAGAAAACCAATGTTATTCCTGCAGAGACAAAGTACGTGAGAGTTGAGCTGGTTATAAAGCATATACCCGTTACCCCTATAATGTAGTTATAGTTATACAAAATCCCCGGTTATTGTTTGCATCACATTACCCGTTTTGGCAGAGGCTTATTTAGTTGTTCAGTCAGTTGGTAGCTGAGACGCAAGCCTGTCACCTTATCGTTTTTCTTTGCCTTTGGTTTGCACTTGAATTGGATCTGTTCCTGATCTGATCCTGAGGTTAGAAAGCATCTAGTCGACGCAGCACTACTCCCATCAATACAGAGATGTAGAGAGGAGATCGTCTGAAGGGGGTAAAAAACGACATTATATTGTATATATATACATAGTTAGTCACGCACAGTTCAATTCACTTTTTGGTTGCCGTGTGCTGTTTGGCACATTCGAAAAATTAATTCATTTTATTTATACATTTCAATTTCATTTGGGTTCTAAAACTCTTAAAATCTTAAAACCAAAAACAATGCCATATTTACGAATACGATTCTACCAATTTTTCGGCCCAAAACTTGAAACATGCACATTTCCAGCAGTGGATCGGCAGCTCCCGCTGGGAAGGGTCATACCAAAAGCGCGTCTGTATCGAGTCCTCGCCCCTCTGCGGACGGATGCGTCTCGGTCTCGAATGACCCGCTCGGAACGAGGTATACACTTGAGTAATTTAACCAAAAAAACGCAAAACAACTAAACAAAACAAAATTTTGTTATTTTTTTTTTTAATTACTAGATTGTTTTTTCAAGTTCCACTGCTTTTGTTTCAGTTTCTTGTATTTTATAATTTTTAAACAATTGGCTGGCATTTTATTTGTTTTTGGGCGAATTATTGTGCATTTCGGCGGCAATCATTTCAACAAATCATCTCCATAAACCATTAATTCAAATAACCATAAGTCTCAACAGCATCATACAACATAACATAAGTAATTACTATTCATCAGACCTTCGATTTTATTCCTTTTGATAATTCAAATGCCTAGAAATTCAGATGTAGAGAATTTTAGCTATTTGGTGTTATTCAAAACATTTTTACTTTCAACAAAAACTTTTGTAGCCTCATAATATATTGCTATTTCATAGGTTAAGCTTTAAAAGAAGGTACTACCAATTACTTTATGATTTAAAATAATTTAAAAACTTGCTGAAAAATGAAATGTTTTAAACAATGTAGAATTTTTCTTGCTGTGCGTGATATTGACAGTTTGGATAACTACAAATGCGAGCTACGTTAGACCTTTTTAGGCTAGAATGATCAGCATTGGTTAGGTATATAATATTAAGTCTCAATTCTTATAGAGTCCAGCCTTGATTATAGCCAGAGTTCGTAAGGTACTTATTTCACTAAAATGTTTGTACCATTTATAAACGGCAACATTACTTTTACAAGCTCTGGTTATACACTCTATATATATACAATCTTATTTATATATATTTAACTCAGTATTTATAAGAACTTTAGGTATATCTCGTTTGAATTTGATTATTGTTCTATACTCTACTATTAGTTTAACAGTGCGTTGTTGGCCTTTTCCTAGTTTCGTTCTATTCGTATTTAATTTTTGTTGTATATTTATCTATATATTTATCCAAGATGTATTCTTAACGACCTAACAACAATTTGATCAATTGAATAATGTAAATTTCTTATCTTTTCATGTTTTTTACAAATATTTGAACATTGTCTGTTTACAAACAAAAAAAAAACACAAAAAAAATGTCTAATTTTGATAACTACTACTACACTACCACATATGTACATCCATATTCTTTGTGGCGTTCTATATATCCGCAACTACAAATAACACCACCACCACCAACCACCTACGAAATCTGAATCTGCAACAACCAACCTCCTTCGTCTTCCTATCGACGCTCGCTCAATTATTGTACTACTCTACTATTACTACCCTTTCGATCGTATGCAAATTGAAAACCTGAACAATAATCCAACAATATGCAACAATTATTGCAAACAATATTGAATCGACAAACCACGCAACAATCCGATTTGAAAATGCCAAATGCAAAAACAATCAAATGAATGTGGTTTGAAACAAATTCAATTTGGATTCAAACGAATCGAACAAATTTGGTGAGTGAAAATGCAATATATTACGTTAAGAGATATTTTGTTGTGCCTCATTACACCAAGGGTCGTGGGCGTGTCCAATAACAACAAACAATAATTGCAATGGCAACGCTTGCAACTATTGCTAGAGTGTAAACACTAGATTCCCATTTGATTTCCATTAACTTGATGGCTTGCTTTTATTTATTGCTCAATCGTATTTTGACCTTGTTTTTTTGGGTCTGAACACCCAAAGCGACGAACACGACCCTTTCCATACACAGATATGTATCTTGCTTAAGTATGTGCTACTACTACTACTACAAATAGCGTACGGTTTGGGTTTAATTTTCCTAATTTGGTTCGCCTATTTTTGCATATATTTTGTAATTCATTTGAATGAAATTCAATTGGCGGCGATGCCAAGATATTGCCATACATATGCTCGAGTTAGTTTCGAGTACCGGATCTACATCCAACGTACAGTGAATAGTTTTTTATTTCGTATTCTCATATTGGGAAGAGTCCAAACAGTCACGCAACTAAGCGATACAAGTTTCTTAAATATAATAAGAACTCTCATCATTTTGTTTGTTTCCCCATGCATGCATGTCTGTCTCTGTCAGTAAAACTATATTGACTCCATCGCCAGTAAAATTGAATTTTCTCCATAATAATTGTGTGTGTTTACTTCGTTTACTTTCACTAATGTGTTAAATGCCTACCTAATTTTACAAATTCTATTCGATATAGTTTGTTTCTGTGCCGCTGCTGTAACTTTTTGTACCTCTCTCTTTCTCTGAACATGATTACCATTTGCTCTCCAATGTACGACTAACAAGTATAACACTTTCAAATTAATAACTCCTATTCTTTTCCACGATCACCGGGTATCGTAGCGTAATATCCCAGGATATGTGCCCTAGACGCGACCTAAATATAATTATAGATACAACGAATTTGCTCCATTTGAAGTACCATAGTCTTGTAATATGTGGAATCTCGAGTGGCTAGCTTGAACGCATGAACCATCATCACATAGAACGCTTTAATGTAGACCGATGGATCGAACCTTCTATCTTATGCCGAGCTTTCCAATATAAACTATATATAATCGAACTCTCTACATTCTTGCTATGTTCTCATGTTCATAAATGCCAAAAAACCAAAGAGTTGAAGTTGGCCGTATCCGATTTTATTTATAAGAAAACGTATTTTTAAGTGCTTGTCTTTTTAAGAAAATTTACATGATCTATTTTTATTTTTTTCTTTTCATTTTGTTTATGTCTGCGACGTGATCGATAAAACAATATATACAAACAAAACCATAAACCCTTGGTTACCGTCATCAATTTGTCACATCAATCGAACAAAATGCTTGATTCGCGCTGCTCTGACCATCTACACACCCGCCTGCCGCCATTCTGCATATAAAACCCAAAAATCAACCCAAAACCGATCTTGAATTGAATTACGAAATATGAACACACAATTATCCAAATATCCACCAATTGGCAAATGACGCAACATACGGGTAACGCACATATTGAATCTCCGAAACCCGAAAACCAACAAATTCGATTCAATTCGATTCGAACCGATTCGATTTGATGATGATGACCCAACACAACTGTCATTACTCATGCTATTTACCTCAACATTACAACACCATCATCACCATTATAACATGTGACGAACGTTCGAACGATTACACATTGATTACCAAACAAAAACTAAAACAAACAACAAAATCAAACAAATATTTAATGGAAAACAAACAAATCAAACAACAAACTTATATACTGATAAAAACATATTCGTTTCCCGAAATGCGATTCATTGGATTTGAATGTACTCTCTCTCTATCTCCGACGAACTGATTCGATACTGATTTGATTTCCATTCCATACGTATGTGTGTATATGTATTGTTCTTGTACATATATAGTCTGTTCGATCGACTTAGAATGGCATCGGCTGTTAAATCAAGCAGACACTTTCCAAGGAATGTTCCATCACGTTCAACCTTTCACTCTGGTGAGTTTTCTGTTCACTTATTTTTATTAGTTTTAATAATAATAATTTAATTTTATCCACACCAACCACACCACCCGCCCGCCCACTCGTCCCCAAAAACTAAAAACCCCACAAAACCATCCCAAAAACTAGGCTAAAGCCATTCCATAAATGTTAGATGTTACCGCGTTATCGAGTGTGTTTCTTCTTTATTTTATTTTCAATAACTTGAAAACAATCTCCCGCCTCATGCTGCATCCGATAATCCCAACAATTATGTCCCAACGCACTGCACCCTTCTCCCGCCATCCATATTGCATACCCCAATCGCGCCTCAATTATGATTTTTAAGTTTCTCAAGCGAGATTAGTTTCTTAATCCGTTCAATCAACTCGATCGATCCATTTAGCTGAATGTTACTTTCTGTTGTTGTACATCGCATCGCTTATGATTTCCGCGATCTAATGCTGCACCCACTCCATGCACGTTTGTCTCAGTGGTCACGTAGTACTCGGTGTACTTCGATCCGATACCGAATGTTCTGCCTGTAAATATATCAATGTATGTTTTGGAAATACGGATGGAAAACTATTCATAGCGACCAAAATTGCTCAACCGATACAAAACTGACACATTTTGTTTGTCCACATTCAGCTATCGCGATTCTACAAAAAAAAAAAAAAAAAATAATGAATAATATGGAAACAACAGAACGTTAAAGCGCAAAATCATAGCGTGTGTCCATTGGACAAAGTGCAATGTGATTATCAGTAGGAGGTACCCCTAATCTGTAGAGTATGTGGCTATTTATAGAGTATCACTACGTTTATGTGCCGTAAGTCTGTGTATTTCATTTTAAATTTATTAGGTTAATTCTGAAATTTGTTAGAATTCAGTGGTTTTATGGAAAATGTAGAAATGATGATAAAGATTTAGAAATTATAAGGGAGTGGGTTTTAAAGTTGCCTATTTTTGTGATAATCGATCAAAAAATAAAATATCCATTCAAATACCCACAATCAACTTTCCAAAGCTCAACGATACACTTACTTAGATCGTCTTTAAAAATAAGAAAAGGTAAAAAAAATAAAATTTGGAATATCCCAGGTTAAAAATAAGGTTTGATAATAAATAAACAGTTGAGGTGAGTGTAAAAAGGATAGAGATATGGGATTGTAAGCTATATAGTCTTATAAACTCCCTGTTTATAGTCTTATAAACTCCCTGTTTATCATCCCATTGTACTAAAATTTCTTACGATATATCTACAGACTTTATGTCTCTTTTTATCAGTTTTATACGTTTCTTTGAAACCACTGATTACTTTTTTAGGCATTTTATCGTATTAAAAATATACTTAATATATTGCAAACAGCAGGCATATAGACGTGGTAGATATCACATTGCACTTTGCGCCAAGCAATGGCGTACTATTTACAAACTCTTATAGTATTTGAATATAAATGTACTCTAGTTTTTAATGATACAGAAAAAGAAAACCCAGTCAGTTTGTAGATTGTGTGTTTGTGTACACGTCATCACGTGCTGCTACATAGGCAATGCGATTCTAACAATAATATTATTACCCTTCTTAGGTCAAACCAGAGGACGAAACAACACAGCGTTGGAATACTCGGGCACAAGCGGTGCCTCCGGCGACTCCTCCCATCCGGGTCGCATGAGCTTCTTCTCCAAACTCTCCTCACGTTTTAGCAAACGGTAAGTAGTCCCAGTCAAATATCACAAAGTGCCAAATTCATTTCTTCAGTTAATGGAATATTACAAGAAAAGCAAATGCAAACTGCAATTCGATTCGTTATTTTTGTGTTTATTTATTTCTATTTTAAATCATTTTGTTTTTCTTTTTTTTTTTAATTTAATTTAATTTATTTTCCGTTTCTTTTAATTTGTTTTTCGTTATTGTTTGATTTTTCTCGTTTATCACATTTTATGTTTCATAGTTTTTGTTTCATTTTACTGCATATCTGCCGCACATACATACACGTATGTATTGTATGCTCATCTGTTATGTTTTGTACCAAGTTGTCTGCAGAATGTCCGTAAAAAAATCACTCAAGCCAGCAGCTCAAAGTTATCGCTACCAAGCGCATTACAAAGCCATGCCCATCGATGCACATAATTAAATTTGAAAAAGAATAAATTAATTAGTCTTAAAGACCCGTTGGATATGCAGAGTTTTTAAATTCGGAAAATTCTTCAAACAGAGACTCTCAGATAGATATTTCTTTAAGCTTAGTTGTGAGGCGGAGGGATAGCGAAGAGGAAGATGTGGCACGGATGATACAGACACCTGAACAGACCGAGAAGAATAACCCAGAATATAGAAGTAAATAGGGCGAAATATAGTAGAGTATTAAATAATTATAAATTCGGTTAAAAATATGCTAAATACAAAGCAATAAAAGCTTTGATAGTGCCATGGTTATATGATGTTTTCAATACTAAAACACACTGTAGTTGGTTGACTCTTTAAAGAGCTAACATATTTGCACTATAGTTTTGTGTGCGATTTCTTGTGTTTAATTAAATACTCAATGTCAATGTCGTTAACGTTTCTTTGGTCCATCACCCGCTCACCAGTATCACATTTGTTTAAATAATAAAACTCTGCACTGTGTTACCAAAGGATTTATTAATCGCGAGATACATTGAGAGAGAGAGGCAGATAAAGAATAAATATTTTATATGTATATAGACAGCTGAAACCCCCAAGAGATCTCCTACTTATTAACCGACATAACTATGCTATGCCACTGCAAAAGTTTATTGACTGAACTGTTGAACAGGCTTTTATGCGTTACTATTAACCCCTCGTATAGACTCTCCACAAAGAGATTAATTTAAAGGCAAAACAGCACTTGCATTTGATTGCATGACGGATTAAAGAAAAGTATAATTGGGCGTGATTTTATGATTAATGGTTACCTTTCTATTTATTTACTGCGAACAATTGAGTTCCTCATTAAGAAGTTGTTACTTATCTTCCACTAATGATATGCACATGTTTTGTATATGGAATTTCTTTTCTGTTCTTTCTTGTTTTTGTTTCTTTATCCTTGTTTTTTGAACTGAAAGACTTTCAGAAGGAAAGAAGTATGTACTCTCTATGTATATACCACGAAACATACAACACACACATACGCACACCCAGAGGACCTTTTCGCTTAAGAACGGACTCGAACAGGCATATGCACCACACATCGGTCCGATGCACTCATCACTACTGTACCCCAAAATTGTGGTGGGTGGTGGGTGGTTCGATTGGGTTCCCGTGCATATGCCGGTTCGGTCGGTTTAGTTCAGATGCTCGCTCGCATTGCTAAAACATATTCCCTATACCAATATTTAGTTGGCATACGTCGTACCATACCACAAACATACACATATGTACATTGTGTAACTGCCAAAACGTAGAAACAATGAATTAAAGTGGCTTACTGGCTATTCGGTCGGGATGATAACATGTTGTTGTTGTTGTTGTTTGTTGAATCAAAAGTGTCAGTGTCATCGAATCGATTGCTAAATTACTATAAACGAAATAACACGGAACTCTCTAACCACCTAACCACATATATTGGTCGCAAGCGATATTCTCATCTTCCAAATCCGACTCTGATTCAGGTGCAAAATTGAAAAATAAAAAAAGTATAATAATGAATACAAAACAATACATACATACATATGTGACTACGTGAATCCATAATCTGAAATTGGCCAAAACAGTAACAAAAAAAAAATAATAAAGAAGAAACTAAGGGGCCAACGTCTGTCGCTTCCTCTCTACGCTCTCAAATCTCCGTCACCCCTTTAGTTCGTTTTATTCCTTGATTGATTGATTTTGTTGACAAATACTCTCGTACATATATTATCTCTATATATATAAATATTATGTAGTTTTCTAATCCTGTATATCCACGTTTGCTTTGTACAACTATGTGTGTACTTCCATTATTATATATTATATCACCACACGCTAGGAAGGCTCTTTTGTTCTTGTCTCTCTTCTTTCATTTATTTTAAAACATGATCAAAAATTAATTACAATAATAATGCTAATTGGATAAGCAAATCAAAGAGAATTAATTATTATTATTATCAGTTTGAAGAACAATTGCGTTTACTTTTCTTTTTCTATGAAGAAACATGAAAAATGATGATGATGATGATGATGAAACTGTTACCACCATTATTCCGTTTTATTCTTATCTGTCTTCTTTGGTTTCATTTCTGGTATTTGTTTTTTTACCCATTATTAATATTTTTTCCAGCCGTGAATAATTTGTTTAAAATTTTTTCTTTAATTTTAGGCCAAACCAGTAATTAACAAAACAAGCATTAACTACTTCTTGTTAATAGTTCTAAAACTGAAACTGAAACTGAAACAAACGATTCCCCTAGAGTAAACGCGCGTGACGGAGAGAGGTTCAGATATGAACAGAGACAGAGAGACACACAGATATGATCGAATTCCGATTGGATCGCATCGGGATATGATACGATCGATATCGCTTTCGATTCCAAATTCCGATACGGATTACCAATACCGATCACGATCACGATCCCGATTCCGATACCGATCCCCCGGTTTCGATTCGAACCCCTTCAAATGAACACCGACAACGTTGAGTTCCGTTGCGTTAATTGAAATTTTCACAAATGCGCCTATGTTTTATTACAATTATTAACTAATTATACATAATAAATTTATATAAATTAAAGATACATATACATATATATATATATATTTAAAAGTAAAGCAACCCCAAACAGAAATTACGAAACCTTTGTTTTCATTGTTTGTAAAACGATGCGAGAAGCGACCGACCGACCGACCAGCAAATGGCAATATAAAATATAGTATATATATATATAAAATGAAGCAAAAACGATACAGAAACCGAAAGAAAATAAGAATTGCAATAATCAGAACGAAATCCCGACCACTATTGCTGTGTCACTGTCACGATTATGGATTACAATTACTACTAAATATTACACCTACGAGTACTACCTAAATATATATATAAATCTATATATATATTTATGTTAAATGCGTATCGCAATTATAGTTAATGAATAAAATAAAAGAAAACACTATGTCAGCGTGAGAGAAAACTGCTAAAAGTAAAATCTAACTTAAGCCTAACTCAACTAAAAACCGATCTAAAGTCTAAAGTGTAAAGTGTAAAGTGCGTGGTGTTTTTGCCTACATCATTCATTAACTTATAGTGAACACACACTCACACACTACACAATGTAGACAACACCAAAAGAAGTTGCTAATTTTGTAACGATGATCTTGAACTTTATTTAGCTATCTTTGTATTTATATGTGTATGTATGTATCGTATGTATGGATCTGTATTTGTATTCTCCTATATGAGCTTGATTTTTTTTTTGAAATTGTATCCGTGGATCATACAATCAAACAACCAACCAACCAATCAATCAATCAAATCAACCAACAAACCAACCAACAAACCAACCAAGCAGCCAGCCAGCCAGCCAGCCAACTAACGATCTTGCAAATCATAAAAATCACACACAACCACTGTGCGCAGATGCTGAACTTTATGAGGCGCTAAAAATGCCAGACGTGCAGCAAGCGTGTAATTAGTATTTAAGCAAATACCACGTAGTCACTAAAACAAAACAAATTAAACTTAAATCCAAGGAATATAACAATGTATTACCTACCACTATAGTGCATGTGACCATTTTATTTGTACAGCTGATATGTATCTATAGAGATCGTGTTATCATCGGCCGCCGCCTTCAGTGGCTCGATCAGTAGTTATCTATACATATTAAGTTTCAAAGAAATAACGCATAAATATAAAAACAATTGATAATTTAATAAAACCGTAATAATAATAAATGATGTGAAACATTTGTGAGCAAATGAAAACCCCACCATATGCATTTCAATTTTATTTCATTTAATTCTAATAGTATTAGGGATATACTTCTGGGAGTCTCAAATAGTTTAACAAACGAGGAAATGTATAAATATTTGGGTTAAAGCAGAGATAAGAATAGATTCTTGCCTTAGTTTTTGTTAGTTGTTGAAGGGGTCCTTAACAGTTTTTTGCGGTCTTTGGTAATTGCTCTTTTTACATTACTTCTCTTCTTTTCGGTCTTTGAATGAATTTTCTTAGTTGAACATTTCTTTTTATACTCTTTTTAACAACTGTTTACAGAGAGCGAGTATTTTGAGCGAATACACTTCGACACTAAAATAAAATACTTGCCGAAAAGGACATTACTTTTCTTTGCTGTAATCATACATTGTAAAGTAGATTCATTCAAAAATTTTAATATTATTAACCTCATATTAATATGTACTAACTGAGACCAGAAAATCGTAAACATCAAATATCTACAAGTAACGAAACCAATTGTGATTCATTTGGAAAGGCTTATAAGATCATTTGAGGTTTGTTTTTGATTTTGTTAAACAATGTATTAAAAGAAAACTAACTTCAAGACAGCAAGAACAAGGTCATCTATTAATTTGAGAACTCTGCTTGTTATACAACTTGAAGGGAAATTGAAAAGTCTGCAGAATCACGAATAGCGAAATATTAATGCCAAAAACTTCCTATCACCGAATGCAGTTAATTATTTGAAAAAAAAATGGATAAAGAAGTGAATATGTAAATTGAAAAGCGTTAATAGGATCGTTCGCTAGACTGTCGTAACTACAAAAAGCTTATAAATATATTTACAGTCAGACAACCACGGAAGAGCCGGCGAAACCTCGAGTACTGCGCTTTACATGGTCCATGAAGACCACTTCGCCACTGATGCCCGATCAGATAATGCAAAAGATCCGGGAAGTGCTGGACCAAAATAACTGCGACTATGAACAGCGAGAGCGGTTAGTAACAGAAATCACTTGCCCGTTGAATATATTATATAATTTAACTTAAAATCTTGCTAGCTTTGTCCTCTGGTGCGTGCATGGTGATCCCAATACCGACTCCCTGGTGCAGTGGGAAATAGAGGTGTGCAAGCTGCCACGCCTGTCCCTGAATGGAGTTCGATTCAAGCGAATTTCCGGTAACTAAATCATAGTTTATTTAAAGAGAATTGATTTGATAACAAAGATATTTCTTTTCAACTAACCAGGTACCAGCATTGGCTTCAAGAACATTGCGTCTCGCATTGCTTTTGACCTCCGGCTGTGACTTAACCAAACGAACAACGAGGGGAATGCTGCTGCCGCCGTCGCCGAGCCGCCCGACAACATCTCCACCGCCAACTGTCGGAGAGCCAGCAATGACAGCACCTCCCGGCTGTCAGAGCTCTCGCTGCTGTGCCGCTCGTTAACCAGCCAACAGGGGGGCTCCCAGCGGCGCAAGAAAAGCCGACTGTCCACGGGCGGCAGCGAAGATCAAAAGAAATCCAACTCGTTGCTGTCGGCATTTCAAATGTATTCACCGTTTAGTTCCAAGGAGAACTTGCAGTCCAGTGAAGAGGTGCAAGACCTTCAGGTGATTGACACCCAGCCTGGTCACTCGATTGATGTACCCCTGTACCAAGCTGACTTTAATCCAATTAATCCGATTCTGGAAGAGGAGGCTGCCGAGATTGGACCGGATAATAAGAGGAGTGACAAAGGCGGTGGAGATGGAGATGGTGCTGGGGCCAGTGGACACAAAAGCAAAGGCGATGGCGGCGGCAATCGTTTGAAGCGAAACATCAAGCACACCGGGAGTTTAATTGTGCGTAAATTGACGTCGGCCAGGCAAGGTGGTGACTCGGACAAAAAGGGGGGTGCGACTGGGAAGAAGGAAAAGGATCAGCAGGAAACGGCAGGAACTGATAAGGAGAAGCCAGGCAACAGCAGCAACAGCAAACCGGAGGGAAAGATAGCCATGCTACGCACCACAACCCTCTAATGCAATGGAACATGGTCGCGTAACATGGAAATCAAATTGAATTGTGGGGCTGTTTGTATGGATCCCTGCTGGAATCTCAAGAAAAAATGAATGTTAGCATCTCTCTCTCTCTGTAGATGGAACGTATTGAATATATATAACTACACATAACAATCAAGCGCAGACAAACTCCTCCTCTATCTATCCACACTGACATGCATTAGCACCCCCACATAGAAACGCACACATTTACATACGTTAATTAATAGGGAACTAGTTAATGGGCCAGGCACAGGAGCATTGGTCAATAGCGAGAGCAGGAGCACAGCTGAATAACGAAAGGGTAACAGACAGAACAACACAACACTCAATAAAACAATAACAATAAATACTATATATTAACAAGAAACCAATCAACGCTCTATAAACTGCATTTATGTGCCGATATATCCAGTAAACAATTTTGCTTGGCAAACAAACAAAACGATCAAAGAACACAATATATATAACATAGATATCCAAACTCGGGTTGATTCATTTTAAAGCATATTTTTCAAGAAAGAAAGAAAGAAGGCACGAGGTATGTTTAATATAAAATATATTCATGATAGCCAAAGTTCTTCTATTGGGATGTGTTGTTGAATCCCAAGACACCAACTCCAACATCAACACCAACACCATAAATTGTAATTATTAGGCTCGTGCTCGAATACGTATATAGTTGGTACTTACATACCAATAGATTTTGGTTAAATTCCCTCGATTTGAACCGTTCATAGAACACCAAACACACACACAACACAGAGACACAGGCAAATGTATGTATATTACTCTGTTAGGGCTACAAGTTTACAACATATAAAGAAATTAATTTCGAAACATGCAAGCTCAGATGCAATTGTGGCCAATTGTTACCTAGTTTCCACTAAGTTCAACTTAGACCCGAGAAAAAGACGAGCCGTTTTTTGTGAAGAAGATTTTTACGATGCAAATGCAGATGCAGTTTGATGTTACGAGAGTAAAGTAAATGGGTAAATGTTGAACCAGGATCAACGATCTCAAGTGAGATGTAGAAAAAAAGACGACCATTTATCCAAGTTGTGGAGGCTCAAAGAAAAATAAAAAAAAACAGTCTATATAGATACCAAACATATATACATATAGTTGCACATCACGTTGTCTTCATCATGATTGTAACGCATTTCTGTAATTCTTATGTAACCCTCGAGAAAAGCATGCATCGTTTTATATATACATATTTGTTGTTGTTAAATGACAGCTAATTGAAACTTATTAATAATTACTAGACTAGGCAGGCAGGCAGAACAGAACACGCATAAACCACACATAAGTATATAATACATGCATAAATAAATATATAAAGCAAGCTTATTGAAATACATATATGTACGCCGAAAGATATCCTCAAGTAGAGCGCTGAACCACCCACTTCCCTTGCACAAGTATCTCTGTGCTGAAATGTCTTTAATGTTTATTTTTTTTTTGTTGTTTTTCGGCCCAGTTTCCATACAGCACAATATACGATAGTTGTATTCCCATTTCTGGTATTTATTTCCCCTTTTCCAACTGTTATGTTGATGTAAAACAAAAGCGAATGATTGATTGATTGATTGATAACACCACTAAATCAGAAATAAATGGATAAAAGCCGATTATAGAATTTACGAATAATCATGTTGTAAGAATATCTGATATACATACATACATAGATGTTTTAATTAATAAATACAAAATGGCATAACTATAATTAGTGTTCGTTTCTTGCGTACAAATAATTTAAGTGCCTGCCGGTCGATCGGTAAGTCTTTTGGTTAGAGTGTGGCATGTGCGATGCGAGATGAAGTTGAAGACCCCCATTGGTGTGCGTGCTGCTGCTGTGCTCGAGATTCTCAGAGCTCGTCATCGAGGTTGAAGTCTTCCGGTGGGAAATCGCCAACCGTCACGGATAATGGCGACACAAAGCCACCGTAATTGGGGGCACAGCTGAAGTATGCCTTGCCAGCGACACTGTAAGTGTGAATAATAAATAGAGATTTAAGATACTAAGATACAACATTTAATAAGTTGAGTTAGGTAAAGTTTGGTAATTATAATTTCTGGATATTCTCGCATATAAAGAGCTTTCCGAACTGAACATTCACTGATTTATTGATACCAACAAGTAGTTCATTTCTTATTTAGTTACTTACCTTCCATTGTTCTTGCCCAGCGGCTCGTCGTATTCTATTCCAATGAAATGACCGTTCTTTCCCTCCAGTTGGCCATTGTATCTGATCGTTCCACGACGCGTGGGATTGCCCGGTACGCTGACCTGAAAGACAAGGTGGGTTACTTAAGCCAACTCTATATATAAAGCTCACTAGCTCACCTCGCATCTGGCTCCGATGACGCACAGCTCTGCCCTCTTTTGGATCTCCTCTGCCTGGAGTCGCCGCTTCTCCTCCGCCTGCTGCATCTCCTCCTCGTTGTACTTGCCCAGGCGATTCTGTTTGAGGTAATTACGTACGGAATCGGTCCGCTGCTCATACTGATCCTTGGTCAGTTCGAATTTCTCAACCGGCGCGTTGTCGAAAGAGAAGCTCGCAAAGCTGTCGATGACGTGCAGGCGTAGGCCATCACTGTTGGCATAGTAACCCAGCAGGGCGTCGTTGTTGTCCAGCGTGGATAAGCAGGTTTCGCCTTTGTAGACCTCCACCTTCATGGTGCCGGCACAGCCGCCCGTCAATATCTCCAGCTTGCTCTGGGATAATATATATGTATGTTCGTTAAATAGTGACCTTGTGGTTGGCTCTGTAATCCACAAACCTTTAGCTGAGCCACTGTTAGATCCTTGGCGAACTTCACCTGGAAGGCGACCGCGTCATTATGCGAATTGGACACATTGGCAACGATGAAGTCCGATTTGCCCGGCTCAGTTATCAGGGCCATCTTGCGTTTCTTTGGAAATGTTGCCAAGTTGAGAAAAGATTGCTTTATAAATTTCACCAGGAAAAACCGGGTGTTACAATTACTGGGCTATATTGATCTGGAGAAATTCTGACTAACCAAGCCGTGTTGTCGGTAATCAAAAAAAGGCGTTAGGGGTATTTAGGAAAAGCTTAAAGCTTTCCGAAAAATACCAAACAAATACAAATATCGGAAGAATAAAACTGTTATTTTAATTTAAATATTCCAAGTAAAGAAAAGTACTAATTTAGTTAAAATTTAAATATAATTAAAAGTTGAAGCTACATAAACAAGATACTTAAAAACAATAAAAATATATTTTATGTAGTTAAAAAAAAATCGCACTTTTCTAAGACCTTAAAATATGTTTATTAAAAGTTAAAATAAATTAACGTTTAGATTTCGTGGTTTATTTATTAAAATAGTAAAAACTAACTCATAACAAGAAAGAAAGCTAACTTTGGCCAGCCAAAGTTTGTATACCCTTGCAGGTAACAATTAAAATATATCATAACTAAGCCAAAAATGCATTAATTTTGATTCGGAAAGCAGTTTTGTGTTAGTTTTTATTAATTTAAAAAAACTGCATATCAAATTTAAAATTTTGAGAAATCAAAATTTTTTGCCATTTTTGCTAATTTTAATGATGTAACCCCTAATCAAATTTTGCAAAAAATGGCCAAAAAATCGATTTCTTCCGGACATGTCTAGAAAGATTCCCCTGTTGATGCTGATCAAGAATATATATGGTTTATGGGGTCGGAAATGATTCCTTGACTTAGAAAAATATTATTTTGTATTATAAAATCGGATTTTTTATATTAAAAAACTTATTGATTTTTTTTAAATTAAAAATATAACTCGGCCAAAAGACCATTAATTTTAAATCGGAAAACTGTTCTGTGCAAGATTTTCTACAGTTAATAAATCTGCATACTTCATTTAAAAAATTTGAAAATTCAATTTTTTATCAAAACCAAAAATTTTAATGATGTTAACCCCTTATAAAATTTCCCAAAAATGGCCAAAAATTCGATTTCTTCCTGACATGTCTACAAAGATTCCCCTGTTGATGCTGATCAAGAATATATATACTTTATAGGGTCGGAAACGTCTCCTTCACTGCGTTGCAAACTTCTGACTGAAATTATAATACCCTGCAAGGGTATAAAAATTACGATTGCTTAAAAGCTTAGTGATTCTCATACATATCCCAAATCCCCACTTAAATCTTAATACATTAATAATAAAATATTAAGATACAAAATAGGAAAGTATTCCTTTAAATATAGATTTTAAACCGAAAAATAAACAACTCTTTCTTCCGTGATATATCAAGTGTATTTTGTGCCTTGCAACTTATAAATATATATCTATTTTTTGGTGTTGTGTGATGCTGTGCAGTCTATTCGTTTGCTTCAGTCCTTTTATTATTCGATCTTAAGAGGCGGCTAGAATATAAGGCCTAATATCCTCCACATCCAGCAGTTGCTCCGGGGCCACCTGCTCGCCGCACATGGGACACTCACCATTTTCCGACAGAATGCTGCAATTAATTGCGGGAAGCTGTTAATATATTTTGAATTTGAATAGTAAATTACTTACTTCTCCATCTCGGCGCGAAAGCAGAGAAAGTCGCACTGCGGACAGGAGGTCATGAGCTGCTTGATGATGTGCTGACCCGTGGCAATGCAGATGGGCAGCGTGGTCTTGCAGCTGTAGCAGGTCACCTCCATGTTGGCCAGGTTGGAGTCGCAAATGGGACACTCCATGGTCTCGTCATCGATCTCATCCCTTAGCTGCTTGATGCCCTTGGGAGCCTTACGTACGATTGACTCAATCTTCTTCGAATAGCGGGGGTCCAGCTGGTTCCTGTAGTCGGGACGCATCAGGGTGGAGGCATAGGTGAACGCCGACTTCTTGAGACCAGCCCGATGACACTCGATCACCGTGGAGGTAAGGATGGGAATGATATCTGCAGGTGGAAGGTAAAATATTAAAAAATATTTAAAGTTCTTACAGTTACTGTACTTACGCTCTGGAAACTGTGAGATGCAGGCGGCAACCTGGACGAGCAGCTTGGCGGCCAGCAGATGGTTGCCCAGCTTAACGTGAATCCTCACCAGAGTGTAGCGATGCAGCAGAATGAACTGGTGACGCATCTCGGCCGTTACCGAAAGATTGTTGCGGCGCAATTCCTGGTACATGGAGTACAGCAGATCCCTGGCTGATTTGTAGTTACCAGCCAGTTGCTCCTGATTAGCAATAATGACAGCCGTCTTGGCCGCATCCTTGTAGTGCTTCCTGGCCATATACAGACGAAACAGATACCGCGGGTCCTTGGGCACTCCATCTACTTCGCCCAGCAGAAACTCAATGAGCTGCGAGGCCAGTTGCTCGTTGTTCGACGTGGCCACACAATCAATGGCCAAGGAAAGAGAGACCTGCTCCTCGTTGTTAAAGGCCGAGGCTTTCAGCAGAAACCTCAAGGCCTTGGTGAACTCTCTGGCCAGGAAGTAATACTTTCCCGCCAGCAGGGTGTACTTTTCACCCTCGAAGTAATGGGCCAGCGCCAGATAGTCAGAGGACTTGGCGTTTTCATACCGCTCCAGCAGCTCGCCATGGCGGCGCAGCTTGTTGTGCCGCTGGGCAAGGGCAAAGGCCTCCTCCACACAGCCACAGATGACGAGAAACTGCAGAGCTTGCTCCACATCGCCAATCTTCTGGTAGAACTTGGCCAGCAACTTGGCCGAGTCCATGGAGCGCGACTCGAGTACAATTTCAGAGGCCGAGTGGGGATCGCAGAGGTGGTCCAAATAGATTCGGACACAGGCATCCAAGTCGCCGGCCACGCGATAACTTCGTATGGCCTCCTCGAAGTGGCCATCGTTCTCCTTGGCCTTGGCATAGGCTGCATGCAGTTTGGTGCTCTTCACCTTGGGCAGCACATTGTTGGCCTTGTGCCACATCTTCAGCGCAATGTAGTGGCCGCAGGCCTCGTCGTAGAAGCCACCACGTTCATACAGTCCAGCTGCCTCGGTTAGGTGACCAACAGTGGCCAGCAACTCGGCGCAGTCGAACAGCAACTGCTTGTCCTCCAGCTCCACGGCGTATTGGATCTTTAGAGAATAGTTTTGAGATGATTCCTATTAGGGTTTTATTTTGGTTATGACTTACTCCCCGCCGAAAGTCCCCTGCTCTGATAGAGGTCCTGGCAATGCCCATTTTGCAGAGCCGCACATGCTCCTCGTACTCGGGGGAGTTTTCCATGGTGGCCGCCTGCTCGCTGTCATTGCTGTTGATCAGGTCCTCCTTGTAGCCCTTTTCGTAGTGATACAAGGCATCCGCATAGTTGCCACTGAATAAGAGGAGAGTGTATTAAGAATTAGAATTACAAGAAATACCCCAATTGACCTACGTGAATTCCAGCTGCTGGGCATACTCCCTGGCTATGTAGGGCACCTCTTGAGGATCGTGCTTGTGTGCCAGGAGCAAAGCCTGATCCCACTGCAGCAGGTCGCGAGATAGCTCCAAGGCGGCCCTGGTATAAACTCCTTTAAGCATGTGCTCCTTGGCCTGCTCGTACTGGGCCAAGAGCATGCAGCAGCAGCCGATGAGCATGTCCAAGTCCTCCACGTAGCGCAACTCCGACAAGGCGTTAACCAGAGCCGCTTCACCCAACTGGCGGTAGGCTCGTATTGCTAAGAAATGAAATTAACAATCTGAAGTGAAGAATAGCCGATGGCTCACCAATATCCGGCTCCAGATCAGCAATAGCCTGCTCCCCAAACTCCCGCCAGGCGCTGCTTAGGTTCATCTGCTTGCACAGCTTGTAGGCTTCATCATAATTCCTCAGTCGCAGGAGCACTTGTAGATTCGCCGTCTGACTATTGCTGGGATTCACCACATGGGTGCTGAGCGACTGGGTGGCATACTGTCCTCCATCCACATGCAACGCCATTTCCCCACCACAGAGCAGCAGCGGAAACTGTCCCGGATTCAGCTTGGACTCTCCCACCTTCAAGGTGTGCGTTCCTTGCACAGAGTGACGCACAAAGACATGGGTGTTGACCATCCTCGCATCGTAGCTAATGAAGATGTTCGGCTGAGTGAGATCCCACAGACAGCCCAAGCACTGCTTGGGCATCTCGGGTATGAGCAGGGCCTCCTCGACGGCGGGCAGGAACACATAGCCCTGGGCATGTTCGTCAATGAAGATGGTCTTGGTGCCTTCGATGTCTATAAAAAGCTGCTTGATGCCCATGCTGTGACGATAGATAAGACAGCTATCCCACTTTTCCAGGGAATAGAAGACCAGGTGACCAATCTTAAAAAGCAAAGAGAAAATTGAAATATAATGATGCTTTCCAGCTACAAATCGAACTCACATCGGTGGCAAAGATGAGCATCTCCTGACTGAGGGCAAAGCAAGTGATCACCGCATCGCTGGGCATGTTGGGCAAGGCGTTGGGAAACACCGCCTGCAGCTTGTCCTTGCAGTTGGGATTGTCAGCGGTAATTGCCTGCAGGATCAGCTGGGGCGGACAGAGAGCGGCACAGTAGTCCGCATTCATTTTCATTGCCTCAATGGTTCTGGGAAAATCCCGCTCACTCAACGGTCGAGGCTCATCGCCCAGACTCTTGCCGAGATCGTAGAACCAGACGTGCTTGTCGATTCCTGCGGCAAAGTTATACGGACCCACGGCCATAAAGGTGGGCTCTCCTTCCAGTGGCAGGCGGAAGGGCAGCGACTTGGACTTGTCCGGCGCGTACACATAAATGGACACCTCGGCCAGGCTGCTGAGCAGCACAATCCGAGGGGCAGACACGGCGAACAGGTGCGGCAGTTTGGTCACATAAATGTAGACAGTGCCGCTGTTTGTGGTCACCGCCAGGAGCTGGCCATCGGGTGACCAGTCGATCATTTGGACGCCAGCATGATCTGGCACTGTGATGATGCGTTCCGTCTCCTGGAGATTCGTGATTGAGTGAATCTTGATGCTGCTTGAAACAGGAGAAAATGAAAGAGTGAGCAACTGAGACGTCGCCAGGTATGTTCCCTACTCACCTGTCGTCTCCGCATGAAGCTACAATATCCAAGGTTGGACAGTAGGCCAACCCTGTCAGCGTGTCCTTGTGGTTCTTAACTTGCCACAGCTCCTGGCCCACGTCCTTGGGATGCGTGGATATGGCCACCACATGGCCATTGGAGAAGCCAAGCAGGATGTAGCCATCGCCAAACCATTTGTGCTGCATCAGTGACCCGTAGCGGCTCTGGAAACCCAGCTCAGTGGGATTCTCTGGCTCGGGAAGGTAGTAGAGGAACAGCGTCCGCTTGCCAATGATCATGCTGATGGCATTGTCGCCGGCAATGCGGTCGTCGTTGGCCATTTCGGCAAAGTACATGTCGGTGGGGGCGTCCCGTAGTTGGACCACCCTTACTGTGTCCCCATCCTCGTTACTCAGCGAGAAGCTCTTGTCCTCAGAGCCGAGAGCGAGTAGGTTTTGAGCGGACCAGGCGCCGCAGGTGATCCGCTTGCTGTGCTTGCCCAGCACCGGCGTGGGTCGCTTTCCGCTGCGGTGGTTGTAGATCGCCAGATTGCCCCGACCCGTACCCACGGCCAGGAGTTGCTGCTGCTTGGACCACAGGATGCAGGTGAGCGGATCCCGCAGGCCCGTCTCTACGCTGACCTTCTCCTGGCTGGTGTAGTCCCAGAGCGTTATGTTTGGCGAGCCGCTGGTAATGATGCCTAGCAGGTCCCCTTCCTGGTCCCAAGCGAAGCCCGAGCAGAGCCTGGAATAGCAGATTTATACCTAACGGACATCCTATGAAGATCGATTCCACCTTACCCTGCCAGAATGATGCGCTGCACCAGCTGCCCCTGGCGGTTATACAGGGCCACGGAGCCATCGGTACCAGTGGTGGCCAGGAGAGCCTTCTGCCAAATGAAGTAGACGTCGCCGATTCCGTGCGGTTCGTCATATTTGTACAATATCTTCTCAAAGGACATGTTTTAGACTTTGGGATACAGTTATTTCTACCTTTCCACAGAACACATTCTGCGATCTGTAATTTTCCGGGTTTTGTTTACGAGTTTTCCGTTTCCATGGCAGCGTCAACCACAACTACAAGCACACCTGTACAGGTGTTCGTGTGCTTTTTATGCACCTGTTGATTTCTGCACCTGAATGGCGGTTTATTACCTTTTATTATAATTAAAAATCCATTTATTGTCGATTTAATTTTATTTTGATGTATTTAAAATTATTTAATATTAAATTTAATTAGTAATTTATAAAATTAAAACAAATTCAAATTTCAGTTTATTTAAGCCAAAATATTTGAACCTTAACCAACACTACAGACAGCTGTTTCTACACTGGTGACGTCACTGCTATTCTCACATCTCTAACCAGCTGTTTGTGCCTAGATTCGCATTAAATTCGCAATTTAATCAATTTTTGTTAAATATATTAAATAAATAGAGTGGAAAACGTGCCTCTAAGATGTCGGATGACTTGCCGGACCAGTTTGACCTGGTGGTCATAGGCACAGGTAATGGCCAGGCTATAAACTCCACCTAAATCTGTCGATGACTCATGCCAGGGAGCCCTTTTTAGGTTTCATCGAGTCCTGCATCGCCGCTGCGGCCAGCAGAGTGGGAAAGTCAGTACTGCACCTCGACCATAATGAGTACTACGGCGACGTGTGGGGCTCCTTCACCATTGACGGCCTGTGTGACCGCCTGAACAAGGAGACCGGAGCCCACTCAACGTTGCGAAACTGCAGTTACACCTGGCACAGCTCGGAAAAGGAACCGGAACCGGAAGCCATGGAAGTTCAGGGGGAACAAAAATGGAATCGTGAAACCATGCTGGCCAAATCGCGTCGCTTTAGTCTGGACCTCTGCCCGCGCATCCTCTATTCCTCTGGGGAGCTGGTGCAGCTGCTCATAAAGTCGAACATCTGTCGCTACGCCGAGTTTCGGGCCGTGGATCATGTGTGCATGCGGCACAACGGTGAGATTGTGTCTGTGCCCTGCTCCCGCAGCGATGTTTTCAACACGAAAACCCTGACCATTGTGGAAAAGCGGCTGCTGATGAAGTTTCTCACCGCCTGCAACGACTACGGCGAGGATAAGTGCAATGAGGATTCCCTGGCCTTCCGCGGCCGCACCTTCCTGGAGTACCTGCAGGCACAGCGGGTGACCGAGAAGATCTCTTCGTGCGTTATGCAGGCAATCGCCATGTGTGGCCCCAACACCAGCTTTGAGGAGGGCATGCAGAGTACGCAACGATTTCTGGGCAGCCTCGGTCGCTACGGCAACACGCCCTTTCTCTTTCCCATGTATGGCTGCGGAGAGCTGCCCCAGTGTTTCTGCCGATTGTGCGCCGTCTATGGCGGCATCTACTGCCTTAAGAGAACCGTGGACGACATTGGCCTGGACGAGAATACAAAGGAATTTGTGCTGAGCAGTGCCGGGAAAACTGTGCGTGCCAAGAATGTGGTCTCCGCTCCGGGTTATCCACCCGTTTCTAGGGACATCGAAATGAAGCCTCACATATCACGCGGACTGTTCGTGTCTGCCAGTCCCTTGGGCAACGAAGAGCTCAATAAGGGCGGTGGCGGCGTGAATTTGCTGCGCCTTTTGGACGCGGAAAGCGGGAGAGAAGCTATACTGATACAACTGTCTCATTACACTGGTGCCTGCCCCGAGGGATTGTGTAAGTTACCGCCTTAGTTATGTCGTAATTAGTCCCAGGATTAATCCATTTTACCCACAGACATCTTTCACCTGACCACGCCCGCTGTTAGCGAGGATCCTGCCAGCGATTTAGTTGCCTTCACCAGCCAACTCTTTGATCCAACCGGCGCAGAAATCATATTTAGCTCCTATTTTACCATTGCCACCCAGTCCAGTAGAAGCACCGCCGGCGAGCACATTTACTACACGGATGCACCAACCTACGAGCTGGATTACGACGCTGCCATTGCCAATGCCCGTTGCATATTTGGCAAGCTATTCGCTGACGCTGAATTTCTGCCTCGTGCCCCGGATCCCGAGGAGATTGTGGTGGATGGCGAGGATCCCAGTGCCTTGAACGAGCACAGTTTGCCCGAGGATTTGCGGGCACAGCTAAAGGACATGCAGCAGGCCACTCAGGAAATGGATATACAAGACTAGATGGAGGAATAATTATAAATAAAAGTAAGCTAATAGGTTAAACGAAATTTTAATCAATTTTGTATACAATTGCTTCATATATTCCTATATATTTATTATGTAAATTATTTATAATCGCTAAAAGTACTAGGTATATATATAAATGTTTATATGTGAGTGCTTCTGTGCATTTTGCTTTGAGAAATATATATATCTTTTCGAAAAATATGCATTCCAATGCGTATAAAAATGTTTCTTTCCTCTGTTTTTTTTTTATTGTTATTATTATTATTATTTTTGTTTATATTTATTGCTTGACGACGGTTACTGTTTTGTTTTCGCACAACGACGACGACGACAAAACTAAGGGTAATCAGAGAGATTATTAAAGTTAATAGTTAACGAGGGAAGAACGAATAATAAAGGTAGTCTTATAAATTAGGATAAGGCTTGGGCAGTTGATCACGCCAGGCAGCTAATAATACAAATTTTATTCGAAGAAATCAATGGAAAAGGGAAACCAAACTGAAAATGTAATGAAAATATAGAATATAGCAAATGATTCGTGGTGGAAGGTTCTGCCGACGACGACGATTGCTCCTCTCACCATAGGTTTCATTTCTGTTTTCACTGCATTTTACAATAAAGCTTTTGTGTTCTCATTTCTTGTGATTTAAGGTTTTTTTTTTCGGGATCTTTCCTTTACATTGACTTGGCTCCTTATAGGGAAAGCTGCTTATATATACAGAAAATGTATATATTGGCAGCGTTCGGCAGTCACTCAAGCTAAAGCAAAGAACCCTTTTGTGAGTTGAAATTGCATTTTTAGTTGCCTTGCAAAATTGTGAGTTGCGTTTGCTATATTCCTATATCTTAATCAGATTATTATTGATATTCTGCTGGCGTTTGCGCTTTGCGTTCATGGCATCCACAATGGGCTGCCGCTTGGCATTGTATTTCTTGTTCAGCTGCTCGATCTCCAGCTCCATCTCGTGATCGATGTTGCACAGCCGCTGATTCAGATCGTCAAAGGTGAGGAACTTGAGGAACTCAAATTCACCCTCCACATACGCATGCGACTGCGTGTGCATGTGCTGGTTTTGATATGCGGGCGGCGGCTGTGCCGGAGCCGCTGCCGATGCCGGTATTCCTTGCTGGCCCAATGGCGCTGCATTACTCAGCAGCAGATTCTGCTGATTGTTGAGCGCTATGAGCTGTTCGTTCATCAGGGGATAGGCCATGAGGACCTGCTGCTGCTGCTGGTGCTGCTGCAGTCCATACTGATTGATGGCGGAGATCTGCTGGAACTGCATTTCCATGTTGTGTTCCCAGTTATTTACATCGTTGGCCCCGCTGGCCAGGTGCTGTTCCTCCTGCTCCTGCTGCTGTTGTTGTTGCTGCTGCTGCTGCTGCTCCGCTGCCGCCGGCGAGTACTCGGTGGCCATGGATTTGTCATCGCCGCGAGCATCGCCCGCATTCTTACGCTCAAAGTGTTCCAGGAACTGCGGTCTGTAGCGGTTACGCGGCTTCTGGTCGTCATTGCGTTTGGCCGTTGTGGAGTCGTCCGAGTCCGAGTTGATAACCATGGTGCCTGAATATCAAAAATATCAAGAATAGTAATCATCTTCTTACCCAGTTTGTTGGATTGTTGTCAATCTCACCCAAATTGGACTCCAGCTCCACCATGGTGCCGCTATCCACTGCTGCCACATCCAGGGGAGATGCCGCTGAAGCGGCCGCTGCTCCGGTAGCCGTGGGACCCGATCCTTTGGCCAGGTTCCTCAAGCCGCCCGGTCCCAGTGTGCCCTCGTCTATGTCCTGCTCCGCATGCGCTATCATGGTGGCATCCGATGCCGAGCTCTGCTGGTAGTCGCCGAACTTTTCCGGCACCAGAGTTCCCGGATCCTCGATGAACACGTTGTCCAGTATGTTCTGCAGCATACCGTTCTCCTGCGTGGCCAGACTCTTGGCCTGACTGGCGGCCAGAACGCCACCGGCGCTTCGGTTTGCCCGCTGCTGCTCGCGAATGCCACAGGTCTCCTCCAGCATCGGCTTCAGGATGGATCGATGCTTGGCGTTCCGTATGAACTCATGTTCCAGCAGCTCGGTGGCCGTGGCCCGGTCGTCCGGCTCCTTGACCAGACATTTGCTCACAAAATCAATGAACTCGGAGCTCCAGCGGTCGGGCTCGCGGAACGAGGGCGGCGGCTTCTGAGGAATCATGAAGATGGCTCTCATGGGATGGATATCGCCGTAGGGCGGCTTGCCCTCGGCCATTTCCAGGGCAGTGATGCCCAGCGACCAGATGTCAGCCACGCAGTCGTAGCCGATCTCCTCGATCACCTCGGGGGCCATCCAGAAGGGCGTGCCAATGACTGTGTTCCGCTTGGCCATGGTGTCAGTCAGCTGGCCGGCCACACCAAAGTCGGCCAACTTGGCGTAGCCCTCGGTGTTGAGCAGGATGTTGGCCGCCTTAATGTCGCGATGGATCTTGCGTCGCAGATGCAGGTAGACCAGGCCCTTGAGCGTGTCCGAGAGGATGGTGGCTATCTCTTCCTCGGTGAGCGTCTTCTTACGCAGCCGCATGATGTCCGAGACGCTGCCGGCACCGCAATACTCCATGCAGATCCACAGGTCGTACTGCTTGAAGTAGGAGCCGTAGTAGCGGACGACGTACGGCGAGTCGCACTGTTGCATAATGGATATCTCCTTGATGATCTCGTGGAGGTCGGACTCGACCGGCACCAACTTGATGGCCACAATGCTGCTGCTCTCCTTGTGCAGTGCCTTGTACACCGAGCCGTAGCTGCCCTCGCCCAGCTTGTACATGATGTCAAACACCTTCTCCGGCGGCTGCAGCAGGGACTCCTCCGACAGCTTCTTTAGCTCCCCGTTAAAGCTGGAAGACGTGTTGCCCGCCATCGTTCTGCCCTCCCGTTGCCCACACACACTGACTCGAGCACTATTTTTCGCAGAGCGTTCAGATTTAGCACGAAAACACAAAGATAATTGTCAATTTACAGCGACATTTTCTCACACGCATTGGTTCTTTATTCCCTTCCCATCCAGTGTTGTCTAGAATGCCAGAGCTGCGCTGCCGCATTTTCCAACACACCACCCGCATAGACAGGTGCGGGGCTGCCAGATGGTCGTAGAGTTCTTATACAAAATGTAAACAAAGCGCCAGTGTTGGAGTGTGCGCTTTGAAATATTGGCGATAAGTGGAGGGCGCGTTTTTAAATTTAAATATTAAAGAAGGATAAGCATTATTTAGCGAATTACAGATTTGTGTAAACACAATTTGCCTTTATGTTTTTTTTTTTTTTTTTTATTAAGCATTTGTAAGTCCCTTTATTGCCATTTTATTGATGTAGGTTTCCGGACAGTTTAAATTACATTGAGACACAAATAAGCATGGAAAATATTAATAATTAATAATCTTGCTCATTGATATAGATTATTTGCCTTGATTTTCTAATTCAATTTTTTTTCCACAAATTAATCTCCTAATTTTTAAGCCCTGTGGAATGTATGTATATATCTGAACTGGTTGAGTCGAAAGGCCATTATCTGAACTCTGCTTAATCTGCTTATACTTATTTTCACTGCTGCGTTTAATATTTACACAAGTTATATTTTAAGTATTTTAAGGGACTTATCGCCATGAGAGATTGTGTGTTTTAAGCCCTGTTTACAGATCTTATTCGCAAATAATTAGGTCAGAAAACCATTACAGAATAAACATAATGGTATTTACATTATTTCCGCAATATGTATTGATATTTTTTGTATACCAGATGGCAGTCATTTATAAATTATAATATATAAATTGATTTTCACCGTGTTCAGCAATTTAACAACACAACGGCACTTGAATCATGATAAGAACAAATAATGTATGGTAATGGTTAACACATGGTAACGACTTATATGTTGACTGTCTCTAAGGAAGAAGTCTTAAATAAAAGAACAGAAGAGAAAACAGGAAGCTTGAATGAATATTTACAAATATGTAGAAATATGTAAAAAGGTATATGTACCTTAATTACCAAAGGTATGTATACACATTCCTCTTAATTTTATTAAAGAAGATTATAAATCAATGTGACATTCATATCATCTTTCATATTATATACCAATATTTGTCTAGGTCAGATTAAATTTAATAAGTAGTGCTGCCTTTTTTGAACACATGGCTTAGTTCTAGCTAATAATACTTCATTTAAAACCTGTAATATATTTTGTATACCATAAATATTTCCATTTAAATGTCCTACCCATCGTATCTTTTTCAGGCATATAAAAAGTATATAGGATAGTAACCAACTCTAAGAATAAATATAATTACAATATGCTGAATCAATTACAAGTCAGAAGTGGGAGAGATTGACAAGTGCCACATCAATTTGTCAATAGTAATCTACGTTCTCCAGGAACTTTGATCCCTTCCAGCTTCAATGGGGTCGCTGACCAGAAACGCTTAATGAAAATAAAAATGTACTTGCATGACGAGATTATGATGAACTGGGGGTAGGTAGACGGGCTAACAATAATACAATTAAGGGGGAGACTCAACCGCAACATAACCGGGCTAACCGGCCGGGGACTTGCGTGGAAGTGGAACCTTAATATGTCACCGCAGACCGGACGGAGGAGGAGCGGTGAGACTGGAAAAGCACGACTGAGCCAGTGGAGGCGGCATTTGTATTAGCTGTTGGCTTATCGGTCACTAAGCCGCCGGGCGCCCTAGCAACGCGCTCCATAGAAACGCCACGACACCCAACAGCAACACCAGCAGGAGCCAGGCTAGAAAATTCCTGCGCTCGGCAGTTCGCTGTTTACACTACGTGGCTGCACATCGCGTTGCTCACCCAAAAACAAAAATATGGCCCAGACGGCACGCACCGCCACGGGAAGGCGTCCGACGCATGATTACCATGCCACCGCCATCTCCCTGAAGCATCGCTCAAAGTCCGCCAATCCGGCACAATTGCGTCCGCTGAGCGGCATCCACGGGGCGGCCGTCTCCTCCCGGCCCCGCTACGTGCCGCCCTTCTCCATTCAGTCGCAGCAGAAGAACACCGTTGTCATCGATGGGCCTATACATGAGTCCGCTCCCAAGACAGCCAGCGCAAGGGCCCGGATCCCCAACCCCAAAAGTGCGTACCAACTAGTTTATTGTTTGTTTCCCTAATGATTTCGCCCCATTTCCCCGTATACTGATTTCTAGGTCTGCGACGCCAGCAAAAGTCCATGTCCACCTTCAATTTGGGCTTGGGCCTAAATGGTTGTGCTCTGGGCGGGGCTAATGACCCGGGACGCGGCACTCTCTTCCGCATGTACTTTGATCGGGGCGACCTGCCGATTAAGATGGAGTATCTCTGTGGAGGCGATAAGATCGGCTGGACGGTAAGAGTGACTGTGAAAATTTCAGAACTTATTATTCGGGATTAGGTATATCTGAGGTTCTTGCTAGATATTTTCTCTATAAAAATACATGAAGCTGAGTTTAATGACTATATACTTCGACATACTTAAACATCTAAAAACATTCATAAATATATATACTATTTATATATCTATACTATACCCATATCTGTGTATTAGCCCTTCGAAACTAGAACTTTCCATTTTCAATATGTAACTAATCCCAATGTAAGTCAATGTAAATCAAAACCAATTGCAGGACTGTCACTAAGAAGGCTAACCTTACTACTCAGTGACCTATTGGCGGGACCTGTATTTGAGTTGGGCTCGAATTTCGTACACCTGCGTGTCCAATTATTTCAAGTGTTGCAGCTAAAGGCAAAAAAAACGAGTAAATAATATGCCATTGTCTATTTCCGGAGTCAGTGGAGCAGCGGTGACGGGCGAGCAATTCCGATTCCGATTCCGCCCGGAATGCGACGGCTGACATTCAAAACGTCGCACCGTCCAACTGCCAGTCTGACTTGCAGCTGCAATTTGGGGGCTTTTGGGGCTGTTCGCCCACCCACTCACACCCACCAGGTGTGTGCGACCCTTTTGCTGGTTCAATGTCACAGGCCTTGGGCGCCTGATGCCGCCACATATGCGGCGGTGAATGGGTAATGGCGAAATGCCTTTTTCGCGGTGCGTTTGTTTATCTAGGACGAAACGCCGCCGTGACAGCTCGTGTGCATACGGGTGATGTGTGAGTGACACTACCTAATTTGCGTCATTGGGTCGAAGGTCGAAGTCGGGGAAGCCTCATATGTGGAGCTTACGCAGCAGCGATGCCAGAGATGGCACCAAAGCTGGAAAGCTGAGCTGTTGCCACCCGGAGACTCATCTTGCTTTTAGAAAATAAAGAGGTATTATATAAATATGGAAGTATTAGTTCTTATTTTTAGCAAGTGTTATTTAGAGTGTTTTATTTCCACAAAGCAGCAAAAATATCTGATTTAATGCATAAGAAACTGAGAAGATTTATATCGAAGAACCTCTTGTTCACCTTGAGTATGTCAAGTTTTCTTATTCATTAAAAGCTTAGGTAGTTATATACATAAGATAGAATATTCCAGACCTCTTAAAAGTGTTGCTTTCTAACCTTTTGCACTAACTTTGATAGTGCCATATTCCCCTTGATTTTCCCTTATAATTTTTGCCATCTAGATTAGGTTTTATCAACTCCTCTAAGGATGCCAATCACTTAATTATGTGCAACATGTGTTGACAAATTCTTAGCTCTGAGATGACTAGTTTAGTCCTAGTCCCTTAGACAATCTACCAAGTGGGGCATTTCCCAACACAAGTCTTTGCCACGTGAGTTTCCCTGATCACCTGAACTAACAATGTATACCTTCTGGATCTCAGGACGACCCTAATTGACCGCATTTTCACATAAAAATACTCGTAGATTAGATGTACATATACTAGGCAGAGGTACAGGTACCTATTCCGCTTTGTTCGCTTTTTGTTCTAAAAATTTCCATTGACAACGTAAACAAACAGAGAGCATCTTAATGGGAATCAGCCAGAGGCCTAACCGGCATAGCGTGCAAATGTACACTTGCCAAACTTGCACCACCGCCGGTACACGAAGCAATTCCAAACTCCGAACTTCAAGCGGTGTACTCACTCCTCCTCCTCCTTCTCCTCCATCGATAGGTGGACATTGACAAGCTGGACTACAGCCTCTATTTGCCGCTCTTCTTCGATGGTTTGGCAGAGACGAAGCACCCGTATAAGACGTATGCCCGACAGGGAGTCACGGATCTACTGCTGGCCGGGGGCGAGAGGATACACCCGGTGATACCGCAATTAATATTGCCGCTAAAGAGTGAGTACCAGGAGTTGGCCTGGCACGCAAATGCCTTGGAAGTTTTTCGGTCTAATTTGCACCTTGCGAAACCAACTATGTAAGCGAAATCCGCCCCCATTTCAGACGCATTGAGCACACGAAACCTGGAGGTAATGTGCACGACATTGAAGATAATCCAACAGCTGGTCATGTCCTCGGATTTGGTGGGTCCTGCCCTGGTGCCCTTCTACAGACAATTGCTGCCCATGTTCAATGCCTTCAAGGTGAAAAACTGTAGGTATTTTCTGATTAACTCTTCAAGGGATAAGTTTTTTTAATATATTTTTAAAGTGAACTGCGGCGATGAGATCGACTATGCGCAGAAGAACAACCTGAATCTGGGCGATTTGATTGATGAGACGCTGCAGGTGCTGGAGCTGCATGGCGGCGAGGATGCCTTCATTAACATCAAGTACATGGTGCCGACCTACGAGTCCTGCTACCTTAACTAAATTACGCTACGTGGTCTTGTCCCTTTACATACAACATCATAAGAATTTATTGAAATTTACAAAAAACTACAGCATTAAATTGATATTTGTTACCAAAGCTGCCTTGGGCATAATGAGATTACATTGCTTGGAGTACATAAGATATGTATATGTGGAGTATATAGTATAGTATATATGGCCAGCATCCTTCGTGAGAAAGGATGCTGGCAGGATGGGGCACGACAGCTGGACCTGGGGGAAGCCACCGTGCCGCCTTTAGGTCATCACTTGGTGGGAGCATACTCGTTCTTCTTCACATTGTGCGGCGAATAGCGGTTGTACAAGCCCCAGATGGAGTTCATCAGCTTGTCATTGTACTTGTTCGGCGAGTACTCGCGTTCTAAGAAACGGATAATATAGAGATGGATGAGTCAGGGATCCAGTGAACCGCCAGATCGATTACTTACGGGTTAGGCTATTGGCGTTGTCAAGGGAACCCTTATCGGCGGCAGCGGACCTCAGACGGGCGACGATCATCTCGCGCTCGTTGAATTGCTCGCGAATCTTGCAGGCGGCGAATGCACCTTGGGGAATGGCGGCCATCTTAGAAGCTGTTTGGAGAATTCAGTTAGTTATCCCGAAATAGTGTAGATGGAAAGGATCCTCGACTACTCACCGGCTGTGGAGATAGTGGTCAACAAGGAGAAGAACTTAAAGTTTTTGAGAATGCTTTGCTTGGTCCAGCACTCGGCGAAATGCTGATCGAGTTTGATGATTTTCACGTTCTGCTCCAGCAGCATTCAAAGTCCGGGATATGGGGTTTGGTGGGAGTATTTCGCCTTGATGGAAATGCTTCCCAGAATTCTGTTAATCTTTGTTAATTTCAGCTGGTTTAAGCCAATTGGATAAGTGGTTTTATGTGGATATTGTGGTCACTGGTGTCGTGGTAAGGCATTTAATGCCAATCGATTCTAGACGTCTCGGCTCGATGATCTGCGAAAGATGTTTGCGGCACTCGGAGAGAGAGGAACACTCGGCACATGGGTTCGGTACTGAACTGAAGCTCAAGCCCGGGAGAGCAGACAATTTATAGAGCGCGTGCTTGGATCGGGGGCGATAAGTGGGGGACAGGAGATCAGGCTGCCTTGATAGGGCGATTATGGAGCCGGCAATGGAGCGCCATTTTGTGACAATTATCAGCTGCCCTGGCCGTTGTTTTGTTTTGTTTCGGTTCTACTTTTTACATCGATGCCCATTATTTTCGAGCTCTCCGGGATGGGGGACTGGGAATGATGCTTCGAGAGGTATCTGCGAGCGACAGATGCTCCTGATATACACTTCCGTGGCAATCAAAGCCCTCGATCTCTAGACGATTTTCGCTTGGCCCAGCAAGATTAAGGGTTCGTATTCCCATCTCGGTTGACCATGTACTCGAATAGGACTGGTAATCTTTATTTTAAGTACTCGAAACTGGCTGAATCCGGTTTGCCACACACTTCAGCATAGTCGTATAGTCAAGGAGCATTCGAGATTAAATTAAAAACTGACCTAAGCGCATGTTGTTTATTTAAATATTAAATTTTAATGTTTGTTTATAATGGTACTCCTCCCAAGGCAGTGTAGACGGTGTAGGTGCTTTTGCACCTTTTGATTTATGTGATTAGTCATGATTGGGAATTTTCCAGTATTTACATTTTGGGTGAACAAAAATGCAATAAATTAAAGAAGCTCTTGGGTGGTTTACTATTAATATAATTATATATTTACCTATTTTCAGATTTCAGCATTTTTGAGGAGGTTTTTACACCATTTAGTCTGCTTTTTGAGCTTAGGGATATTTTCTTTTAACTTGAAAAAAGAAATTTAAATACTTATTCCTTACTTTTCTCAAGTTTAACAATATATAAATAACTTTTTCAATCACTTCTTAACCAAGTTTTCAAAAAGATAAAATTCATTAAATTATAAAACCTACCTTATGATAATAATTGATAATAAACTAATCCTCACTATTTACCAGAAATTAAAATTAGCCCCAAGAACATATAAAAACGCAACTTTCTGTATTTGCCAGCTTAACACAAACACTACACATTTACATTAATAAAAATATATTCCAATAAAAAATAATCAGAATAAAACAAAGAGATGCCAACTACTTAGTGAAACCAGTAAATAGGTGGGTGATCCGATGGGGATCATGGGTCTGACCCTCGTAAAACGCTCTCAATAATACGATTATAAATAAATCGCTTATTCCAGTGACGCGCAATGTGTTTACTACAAAAAAAAAAAGTAATCTTTGCACAATGCCGGGGAGCCAGTCACAGTGCTGATAGCATTAGCTGTGCAGAGATAGTGCCCTCTGGCTCCATGAAGTATGTAGAGGTACAATATTCTCACAGTATTCACACAGTTTCAAACACACATTTTTATTTTGGAACTATGCAAAAAGACTAAAAAAGAGGCCTGAAATACATTTGTGGAGATAATGAGCCACGAGCGTCTCGGAGATCACGTAGAGCGAGTCGTTTTTGTTCGTTTTTCGTGATTAAAGCCTTGGCATGTGTGAAGATAATGAAGATCCTCGATGATTTTTCCTTTTTTTCGCAATGGCCTCTGCGGCAAAGTTCAACAATCCGTCAACGGCTCTTGCAAAAATCTGACGTAACAATGTCAGGCATTAAAACAATTTACTTATCAGTCGCAGACACTTTTGCGGCAAACGTTGCTCCCCGATTTGAATTTCAGAGGGCGCCAAACAGTCTGGCTGGTTTCGCAGCACTCTTTCTCACCAGGTGGCAACTCCTGCCAAAGGCACTGAGGCCACGCATTTGTGGTGAACGGCGTTGCTAAAATTAACAATTGCTCGTCAAAAGCAAGAAAAGAAAAACTCGGGAAATTGTTAATTAAAAGCGTGACCCACATCCAAACACTCAGCCGCCGGACGACGCCATGACGTGGAAGAAGCAACTGGCCATACTGGCCAAGCCCTACTACTGGGTGAACATCCTGCTGGCCGTTTCCTATCTGCTGGCCAAGAAGACCCAGTTTGTCTGCACCCGCCTGTTCAGCCTGCTCGAGGAGGACGAAGCCTGCGATTTGGACAGTCGCGAGGTGGAGATCCTGTTCTTCCTGCTAATCGTTGTGATGATCCGGTCGCGCAAGACGGGCGCCGTCACCATGATCAACTACCTGTCATCGTCGTTCCTGTATACAAAGGTCGCCAACGCCATCCTGTGGGCCTACGCAGACTTCCGCTACGGCCTGGGCTTCCTGCTGGTCTGCGTGCTCGTGGGCATGGTGCTGCCGGAACCCTCGTACCGCGGCCCCGAACACATCACCTACTTCCGGAACTCGCAGGTGTTCGAGGAGGAACTGGTCCGCGACAAGCGCACCAGCTGGCTGATCTGCTTCTACACGGTGTGGAATCCCAGCTGCGTCAACTTTGCCCCCATCTTCGCAGAGCTCTCGGCGGAGTACAACACGGACCACCTGAAGTTCGGCAAGATCGACATTGGACGCTTCCCAGACGTGGCGCAAAAGTACCGCATCTCGGATAGCAGCTTCTCCCGCCAGCTGCCCACTGTGGTGCTGTTCCAGCAGGGCAAGGAGACTGAACGGCGGCCGTGCGTCGACAACAAGGGCAAACTGCAAAAGTTCTTCTTCTCCAGCGACAATGTGCGCGCCACCTTTGGACTGAACCAGCTGTACAAGGAGGCAGTGGAGCGGCTGCCCGCTGCGCCCAAGGAGTCGAAGAAGGCACAGTAAAGACACAGCATCATCCTCTAGCAGCCACCTCATCTCATTTCTGCGTGCACGTGCTAATCTATGTGTTATTTGTCTAGTTTTTAGTTTATCTTAAATTATTGAGTCGGTTTGAGGTCGCTGCCACCGCCGGAGACACGTACAATTGCACTAACAATTGCAACGTGCACTCATCGCGTTGCCATTGTATAAATTATTTATGTAGCTTTGCATTTGCATATTTAATTTGTAGCTAATAACGAGGTTACCAAATATATTTTAACTAATGTGAAATGAGTTAACGAAAATTGAGTTTTTATTATTTCCCCCCGCCAAGTGCTTAGTGTTTTATTCAATTAGCAGTTCCTCAAACGATCATTTCCGTTGCTTGTTTAAGATTCAAAGCTAGGGACTTTAAGAGGGTCGAGAGAAGCACTAATTGGGAGTGTAAAGAATGATATTCTAGGTAGAAATGGAGCTATAAAATAATTAAAAGTAAAAGTTAAAAGAAGTCTTAGGAATAAGTCACGAAAATAAAGAAAACATTCTTCTTTTTGTAATAAGAAGAAAAAAAATTAGAAATTTTATAAATTTAAGCAAAATTAGTTTCAAATTTGGTTAATTATTAAATATAAATAATTTAATTTTAAATAAATTTTGTTATTTTCAGTGTATCTATAAAAAATCGATTTTGGAAAGGTTCGAAACTAAGAAACCAAGGTTGTGGCCCCTGCTAACTCTTGTTAAATTCAACTTTTTCGAAATATAACGTAAATATTCCCTTGTCTTGCCTTTTAAATTGTGATAACATGCCGTGAAACCCCTCACACCCCCCGCTTGTTTATGAAATATAAAATGTAAATATAAAATGTAAAGGGGCCAAGCCGTCGTTACAGTGAATGTGTTAAGCGAAATTGTATAACAATGGAAATGGCACAACAAAACCGTTTCCGGCGTGTTGCGCTCCCAGACATTGGGCCGTATAGACAGGCTATAATATATACATATATGTAGATATGGTCGTATGGAGAGAAAGGACGTACTCACCCGGGCAGACGCAAATCCCTTTTATCCATTCAATATACCCACAAACACACACAATACAGGCGAGTGCACACCCACCCACTGACGGGAGCCCACAGATGGGAGCGAAAGGCTTTTGCGGTTAATATTTGTATTTTTACTTTATTTTCAATGAAACGGCATGGAAATGGCCATTGCATTATACGTGCATTGTGCTCCCATTGCGTATGGTAAATAATACGATTGTCTCACATGAGCCTGGGCGTTTTATTTGCACCAAAGTTAAATTCCTGCCTTTGTGGGGGAAGTGAGCGACAAGATTCTCACCGAAGTGGAGCAATTATTGTCGCGTCTGTTCCGGCGTTTAATCAGGGTTCCAGGTCCTGCTCCTGCTCCTCTGTATCAGCTGTCGTGGCCAGCAAAACGGTGGTGGTATTCGCGTTTTACCGGCAGTCGTCCTCCCACACGACCAGGCGCTGTCATCCGCTCCTCATGGCCAAAATCCAATAAGCACTTGCCTCCCAGCGACAGCAAAACGCATTGTCGTCGCTATTTTCACGTTGATTTCCCTCATTGCTGCTGTCTTCTGCTGCTACCCGAAACCAGTGCTGGCCAGATTCAATTGATTTTGAGTGATTTTTTGGCCAATACCCTGGCTTTTAAGCACTATAAAGGGAGTGTATCTAATGGTTTTATATTTAGAAAGTTGGATAGATGTACAGGTAAAGGTAGTTTTCCGAATAAAACCTCAAGTTATATAGTCTTTAAAGTTTTTTTTTAATAATTAATAGATAATATATTGGGTTTCCTTTGAGAACAGATCAACTTCTAGGTCAATAGAACTGTCTACCAGTCTTGAATTTCATTCTCATATATTCCTCAATTTATCAGGTAAATATATAAATATTTTCTATTTTAATCTCTAGACCTCTAGGGTAGTCAGAGTCCCAGAATCTATTGATGTTTAATGTTACGTTTGCGCTTCGCTTTGGGTGCCCGTATTTTTTATTGCGTTTTTATGTCAACACCAGCTGGCAGCGTCTTAATATCGTTCGGTCGAGCTGCCTTTTTGGCCTGGAGTGGGTTCTTGTGTATTTCTGTCAATTGCTCACAATTAAATTAAAATTCAAGTCAATGCCAGTTGCTGTTGAATTCGCAAGTCGAAGCCGCAAGGCAGGACAATTGAAGCCAGGCACACAGGTGTTTCCTTTATTATTTAACGTGTGGTATTTCACAAAAGCGATAAAATAAATCAATTTTCGTTTAAGATTTGATTAAAGAAGATAATCTAATAACGTTTACCGGGTGTCCCTTTTGTATAGCCTGAGGGGGATATTGATTTGTTTGGTGTATATATCTAGGATTAAAGTTTTAAAATCACTAAAGGAAAGTCTTTAAAGATAACTATGATCACAGCATCCTTAAAAATAAAAATAATTTTGACAGAAAAATTTATACAACAAGTTTTAATTATCATAAATTATATAATCAAATATGTTTCTTAAACAATTAAGATTTTAACAAAATAATAATAAAAAAATCGCACCCTCTCCGTGACAATGCGTATTGCAGCATTGCCGTGACCAGGATTCGAACCTGGGTTACCACGGCCACAACGTGGGGTCCTAACCACTAGACGATCACGGCTACGAGGCACGTTGAATCACCGACCGCGAATCGCCAACAGAAGCGGCATGCTACGGCTACAGCCACAGCGGCACCGGTTGGATTTGCCTGCACTTCTTTGCTCTTTAACAACTTGTTTTTGGAGCAACTACCTCTAATCACCGCAGCACCAACAACAACAACAACAACAAAAGACAGACAAAAACAGTGAAAGTACGAGTTGCTTTGAAAGCAACCAACCACAGCCGCAGACAGTGCGACAGACCGACTGCCGATAAACAAGATTTTGGTTCATAAATTAATTTGAATTTGCCAAGCCAGCAGAAGTGGAAGTGGGTTTGCTGGGGGGCGGGAATGGGGCGTGTATACGTTCTGCTATCAGCATCGGTTTTGCTGTTCTCCGGTTCGAAATACTATATATTTTGGGGGGATGGGCCAGCACGGTAGTTGCGAAAGCAAAAAGTTTCAAAAATAGAACAAAAAACAAGAAAGAAAGCTAACTTTGGGCAGCCAAAGTTTGTATACACTTGCAGGTAACAAATAAAATATATCATAATTAAGCCAAAAATGCATTAATTTCGATTCGGAAAGCAGTTTTGTGTTAGTTTTTATTAATTAAAAAAAACTGCATACCAAATTTAAAATTTTAAGAATCAAAATTTTTGGCCATTTTTGCTAATTTTAATTTATCAAATTTCGCAAAAATGGCCAAGAAATCGATTTCTTCCGGACATGTCTAGAAAGATTCGCATGTTAATGCTGATCAAAAATATATATGGTTTATGGGGTCGGAAATGATTCCTTGACTTAGAAAAATATTATTTTGTATTATAAAATCTGATTTTTTATATTAAAAAACTTCTTGATTTTTTTTTTAAATTAAAAATATCATAACTCGGCCAAAAGAGCATTAATTTTAAATCGGAAAACTGTTCTGTACTAGACTTTCTGCAGTTAATAAATCTGCATACTTCATTTAAAAATTTTGAAAATTCAATTTTTTATGAAAATCAAAAATTTTAATGATGTAACCCCTTATAAAATTTCCCAAAAATGGCCAAAAATTCGATTTCTTCCTGACATGTCTACAAAGATTCCCCTGTTGATGCTGATCAAGAATATATATACTTTATAGGGTCGGAAACGTCTCCTTCACTGCGTTGCAAACTTCTGACTGAAATTATAATACCCTGCAAGGGTATAAAAAAACCATGAATACATTTAGTACGATGCGACACCAATGGCATGGATTTATTTGAATTTCTTTTACATATTTTATGGCAAAGACCAAGGAATTTAAAAATATTTATTTACCCAGCAGGAATAAACAAATTTGTGAGCAATGATCGCAATGGGATTTTTAGTTAAGGAATTTAATTTATTTATAGGAAGTTGATGGTTTTCTTTAAATATTATGATTTATTTTTAAATATAAATTTAAAATAAATATGAATTTTATAATAAATGTATTATTTTTGTATTATTTTTGCAAGCATAAATCTTGTAGTAGTTAATAAATCAAAGTACTTGCCCAGCCTTATCAATAGACTAGTTCTTATCAATTCAATATAATTTATAAGAGCTTGTTTCGATTTCAAATGAAAGCGAACTTGATAACATTCGTATGTTTCTTTACTTAAATACATTTTCTTTGCTATTAAATTTCATATTTGTTCCTTTTGAACAAAATTTCCCCTGCATAAGGTTTCATTAGTTTTTTCTTCTTTTAATAAATACAATTTTTTAAAAGATACTTTAATTATCAGCGAATAAAACACTCCATTTAATTATCACCTTTTTTGCTTACATTTAATGATAACTTTGCCATACTCAAATTGAACAAAAATTGAAGCTTCCCCCTTTTTTCAGTTGGCCTTTCATAAAACTTGTGGCAAATGGATTTATTTATTCACCTGGGATTAATACTTCATTGCCTTGGCAGCGGTTCAATTAATAAATATAAAGAGGCAGCCTTTTTGCTATCCGGAAACACATACAAACATATGTAGTATCCTCGACATTCAGTGAACTTTTCGCTATTCCTGAAACAATCCTGAAACAGGTTTCAATTGCCAGCAACCGAAACTCGCCAACCATAACTTGTACAATCCAGTTTGATTTAATTTTGCGTTTAACGATTCTGTAATTACCCATAAGTGCAATATTATTTAAATGGCACTTTTGTTTTTATTGTGTGGCCCATTTGCAAACACGAGGGTGGAAATCGTCGTCCTCGTTGTTTTGTAGCTTCGAAGCCCTAAAAAAAAAATTGAAAAGTATTTACATGAAAGCAGCACACACACACGAGCCGTGAAGTCCTCGCGGGGATTTTTTTGTGTGACTTTTGTGGCCTGTTTTTTTGAATATAGGACGGTTTTTGTGAACGGTGAAAGTAGCCGCGCTCCAATAACCATGCAAAGGTTTTGGGGAATGGCGCATCGGACCGCATAACAAAGTCCGTTACGTATTTGTGAAAATATTTTTTTGATAAGTGGCATATATAGCCTTACTGCTGCCCAAGTATGGGTTCCAGAGACAATCTCTGTTATAATCGGCAGGACACAAAAACGTGCCATTAAACGGCAGATCTTTGAACTTTTGCATTTCAAACACAAACCGGATTTCCTATACTATATATCGCTGCTGTCGCCAGCCAGTCTGCCAGGTTCAGGGTCAACTTTTTGCGTGCAGTATCGATGGCATGTCACCCTTATAAAGGTGGCCAGGAGCATGCCAGTTTCAATAGTCCGCCGCAAAATGCTCGACACGGTCGACACGGAGCTGGCAAATGGAACGATCCATTCGCCGTACAGCTTTGACATTCCGCACGCCTTCATCTTCAACGACACCCTGCAACCCAATGCTATCTATGGCGGTCCCTATCTGGAGATAGTGAAGCACTTTGCCAAGGCGCACCACTTTCGACTGGAGCTGGATCCCGTCGAGAGTCTGCCCAAGAAGTCAGTGGTGGAGGAGGACATTGCCGCCGGCATTTACAACCTATCGCTGCACGGAGTGACTATGCGTCCTGACAAGATCGGCAAGTTCTCGGCCGTGACGCGGCACAGCTATCCTCTGGAGCTGATGATGAACTGTGTGATGGTACCGCTGGCTCCCGAGCTGCCCAAGTGGATGTACATGGTGTGGCCGTTGGGCAGGTACATTTGGACGTCCATCGTCCTGGGCACCTTCTACGTGGCCCTTCTGCTGCGCTACGTGCACTGGCGGGAGCCGGGGAACGCAACAAAGTCCTATACGCGGAACGTGCTCCACGCCATGGCCCTCCTGATGTTCAGCCCCAATATGAACATGACGGTGAAGCTGAAGCACGCCTCGCTGCGCGTGATCGTCTTTTACATGCTGCTCTTCGTCTTGGGATTCATACTGACCAACTACCACATCAGCCACATGACGGCCTTCGACATGAAACCGGTGTTCCTCCGCCCCATCGATAACTGGGCGGATTTGATACGCTCGAAGCTGCGTATAGTCATCCCAGAGACGCTGCTGGAGGAGCTGCGCTGGCTGCCGGTGGTGGACACCACTCCGTTGGATCCGCAGTTTGACGCGCGCAGCTGACAGGACTATCAGGCCCTGCTGGCGAGTCCTTCACGTTCTTACGCGTATGTGGTCACCCAGGACGCCTGGATATTCTTCAATCGGCAGCAGCGCGTGCTCATCCAGCCGTACTTCCACCTGTCCAAGGTGTGCTTCGGCGGCTTGTTCAATGCCCTGCCCATGAGCATCAAAGCAAGCTTTGCTGGGTCCCTGGACCACTTCATCCTAAATGTTTGGCAGGCGGGATTGTGGAATCACTGGGAGGAGGTGGCCTTTGGCTATGCCAAGCGTGCTGGCTATGCTAAGGTATTCCTGGATACGTATCCTGTGGAGCCGCTGAACTTGGAGTTTTTTAACACGGCCTGGATTGTTTTGGTTTTGGGATTACCCCTCAGCTCTTTGGTCTATTTTTTGGAGTTGTATATTCATCGTCGCAGGGCAAGGCGGCTGCAATATGACCGCTTCGAGTGCTATGATGGATAATTTTGTGATTGGTTTTTAAAGGAAAATGAGTTCTGAATAACACCTTAGAAAGTTTACATACAAATTTAATAAATTCTATTTAAAGGCTTAAAGTAATAGTTATACTTATTTGGAAAACGATTTACATGTCCATTGGTGTAACATCAAAGACGTAATGATTTGTACATTAAATCATACCCAACTTCACGGCTTATTTACTCACATGAAACACGGATTAATTATCTAGGGATTCAGTAGCAAAAAAGCGTCAAAGGGATGTTTACTATATTTTTTCAATGCACAAGGGTCTTCAGCTTGCAGTAAAACGACGCATAACATTCATAAAAGGATGTTTTAATTGGAGCTCACACTTTCCCACAGGACCCATTACCCCGACCCAGGAAAAGAGTGTTCAATCGGGGCAAACAACTTAACCTGCTTAGCGAAACGTGGGTTTGTTCAATTAATTCGTGGAGCTTCTTGGGCTTAGTCATGCGGTCTTCGCCACTTATAGGCCTTTTTCTACTGGCGACATGCCCTCCGAACCAAGGATGGAACATGAAGTACGTTCTCGATTTGTTAACTCCGTTTGCCAGCCAGAACATATTCCAGGAAATCGTGTGGTTTGTCAGTCCGCACCAGCGCTTGGAGCAGACCGACGAGTTCATAAGGCGCATTGACGAGGCCTTCGGGAAGACAGCCACCCAGACGGTGGTTAATAACAACACGGAAATGCGTATGATTCACTCGTCGGCCAGAAGGAACCACATGAGCTTTGTGTTCACCACAGGAGCAGATGATCCCATTATGAAGGTATTTAGCAAGGTGTTGCTCGGGCGGCACTTTTACTTTTCGATGATAATGTACGTGGACAAAGTGAGCGACATGCAGCCCATTCAGGACATACTGCTCTTCGCCTACAACCAGCAGTTCATAAACTCGATGGTCTACTTTGAGTCTGAGGAGGGCATCAATCAGATCTTTGGAGTGGCCAAGTTTCCCTCCATGGTGTTCGAGAATCGCACTGACTTCAACGCTTATATGAGAAAAATGTACAATAAGATCCTGAATGCACGCTCCGATGTGGAGGGTTTCGGGTTTGCTACGCCCTTGCGCCAGGACCTGCCACATCTCTTCCAGTCCCGAGGCCGCAACGACGGAAGTACCTATCGGATCATCGAGACCTTTGTCCAGTTCGTCAACGGCACCTTTGCGGAGCTTCCCATGCCGCTAGATGCCCTGGGCGGCAAGGTTATCAATATGAAGCAGACCCTGCAGATGGTTCGCGAACGCCAGATGGAGTTCTGCGCCCATGCCTACGCCCTGTTCATGCCCGATGAAGAACTGGAGAAAACCTACCCGCTGCTGGTGGTGCAATGGTGCCTAATGGTTCCGCTCTACAACAGTGTTTCCACTTACTTGTACCCCCTGCAGCCTTTTGCCTGGAACGTGTGGTTCTTCGCCGTGGGAGCTCTGTTTGCCTTGGTTTTCCTGGAGCTGATGTGGCTCAGGATGTTCGGAGGAGACTGGTTAGGGTATCACGGCGCTGTTCTGGACTCCTTTTGCTACATTATCAATGTGCCCACTGAGGGCCAAGTGCAGCAGCCCTGCCTTCTTCGATTTCTCCTGCTTGGCACGGTTTTCTTCCATGGATTTTTCCTTTCCGCCTACTACACCTCGAATTTGGGCAGTATTTTGACTGTGAACCTCTTCCATGCCCAGATCAACACCATGGACGACATTGTGAGTGCCCAGCTGCCCGTCATGATCATTGACTACGAGATGGAGTTCCTGCTGAATCTGAATAAGGAGTTGCCCCAGGAGTTTCTCAAGCTGCTCAGACCCGTGGACTCTGGAGTCTTTGCAGCTCATCAAACAAGATTCAATAGCTCCTTTGCCTACTTTGTAACCGAGGATCAGTGGCAGTTCCTTGACGAGCAGCAGCTGCACTTGAAGCATCGCCTCTTTAAAATGAGCAGCATCTGCTTTGGTTCCTACCACCTGGCTTTTCCCCTGCAGATGGACTCATCCTTGTGGCGGGATATCGAGTACTTTACGTTCCGCATCCACTCCTCGGGCCTGCTCAATTTCTACGCTCGCAGCAGTTTCGGATCTGCCCTTCATGGTGGTTTGGTAGAGCGTTTGCCGGAGAATCAGGAGTACACATCCGCCGGAATGCAACACCTAGCCATTGCCTTTATTTTCCTGCTAGTGATGAGTGCTTTATCCGGGATTGTGTTCCTTCTGGAGGTGCTATCTGAAGGCACTTCGCGTAGTCTGTTTGTTTATCAATAAAATGGAAGGGCTAAAATCCTTTCTCACCAAGAAAATCCCCTAGATAACGTTCTAATTAATTACATTTTATTGATTATAATAACAAGATATATAATGTGATCCACAAGTAATCTATACTCTATATTTTACACCCTCATAAACCGCCTAAGAAAGGACCTTGGCTTACGGGTTATTTTAACAATAGGGCGGCGTCTAAGGGTCACATGCTCGTACCACTTCATCTCCGCAGCAAAGGCCATTCCAGACACCACCAGGCCGAAGGTCCAAGTGCGCAGCATGCTGGAGAAGAAGCTCAGGCTGAGGGCCATCGGCTCCTCAACGATAAGATGCACCTGGATGCGTTTTAGGTGCACGGCCTCCCAGAAGGCCTCTCGCTTCCAGTGGTTCATGAGGCCCGCCTGCTGGGCTATCATGATGTACTCCGTCATGGATGAGCGCAAATGGGAGTCCGCGTGCATGGGATAGACGTGATAGAAGGGGCCCTCGCAGATGTCTGTCAGCCGGAAGATAGGCTTTCGCAGGTGATGCTGCTGCATGTCCAGAAATCGCCAGCGATCGCTGCTGACGGTATAGCCAAAAGTGGTGTTGAATGGCTCCCGATGGAGGTCCATCATATGCTTATCCACAATATCCACTTGGCGCATGTAGCTGGGTGGGTATTGCCGCGGCGACTTGACCATCCTTTCGTGCTCGTCGGCCACCACCAGGATCCGCAGATTGGCCTCCACCACATCCTGCACCGTGTTCACCTGTCGTGATGGCGGGGCCGCGGTGAAGTAGCTGGTCATCCGGGAGGTGTACATGTTCGATGTCACGATGCCCATGATGGCCAGCAGAATGTACAGATAGCGCATACGCAGCGTGGGCGTGCGGATGATGAATGTGGGCGGCATGTAGGTCAGCGTGCAGATGGCTTGCAGGAAGGCGGCGCTAAAATCCCGGGGTTTTAGGGGCGAGCACAGCCAAAGTGCCAGGGCTATGTACAGCGTAAATAGGATGATTAGTATCCATACATTGCCCTGGAGAGCCTCCCGCATGTACTGGTCCTCCGGTGACTGGTTGCGAAAGGGAACCATAATGCAGACGTCGTTGATGCCGATGGGATAGCTATAGCTGACCACATACTTGGTCGTGATCTCCGTGAAGGAGTGTATCAGCGTCTCGTACACTCCCTGGGCCACCAGGTCCAGCATATTCGTCATATTCAGGTAGTCGACCGTCATATTTGAGGTGGTGTCCACCAATGAGGCATTCACGAATTCCAGGAAACCCAGAAACAAGTTGCCGCTGGTCCCATGGACAAAGTTCTTCTCGTAGGCATTCGTCGGCCGATCCGATTTGAAGACCCGCGGCAGATCGTACAGGATGGGCGTTCTCACCTCGTAGCCCTTCATGTCCTTGGCATACTTCTGGAAGAACTCCTCAGGCCTCCATGTGCCCGTCCTGTTGATAACCGAGGGCGTGGGATAGGGCTCCAGCAGGAACACATTGTTCTTGATGGTGACCAGGACGGTGTTGATGAACTGCTTCTTCCAGGCCCACTCGTAGACATCTTTTATCTCGGTCGTAAATTCCGTAAAGGACTCCAAGCTCGATTCAAAGTCACGGCTCTTGAGGCTGGGATACAGAATGAAGATCGTCTTGAGCCAACGAATGCCCCGCAAACTCTGGGCAGCCAGCTCCATGATGGGATCATCGCGATTCGTGGTGTAAACCATCACCAGCGAGGGAGTGCTGATGAACTGCATCATAGGAACCGGTGCATAGTGCTGGCGGGTTATAATCAAATTCGGAGCCAGCGGAAAGTATGTCCAAAAGTCGTGAAAGAACACCTGGGAATCCTTATTCTTTAGATCCAGCCGCTCCGAAATGTAGAAAATAAAGTTCTTGAAGTGATATAGCTGGGTGATGCTAAAGAGCATGTCCAAGACGAATGAGCTGTCTAGCAATTGGATGGTTGTTCCATTCACCATGGAAAGATTACGTGGGAAAATTTCCCGCTCTTGGAGAATAAGCTCTGCAGCCCGACTTGCCATATTGGCTGGGCGAATGCCGGCCAGTTACTGTCAAGTTGAAGGACGACTCGGCCTTTGCATGTGGGCACAGTAAATGGCGGAGCATGGTTAGCATTTTAGCAGGTTATGGTTATGGTTCTGCTGGTTGAAAGTCAATGGCAGTAATGACAATTCAACAGCACAGGAGCGGTTTAAGTTAACTTCAGGAATTCCAAACAATATATCTAGTATTATTCTGATTTGGGCCCCAAAACCCTCCAGCGCTCCTGGTCTTCAATAAGCCCGCTTGTTGAACACGTTTATTGACTCATAAGGCCCTATTGCAATTTTATCTTAAGTGCAAATCGGACATATTTAACTTTTCGCGGTTTATGCGACAAGCGCCATATAATTGGACAAATAGGTTCGGGTCATGCGATGGGGAAAAAGCTGCGGTGGCAGCCCATCGCTTTGTTTTAGCCAAATGCATGCAATCTAGAGCATGGAGTCCCCCAAATTGGGTTCGACAAGGTGGGAAATGGGTCATTTTGTAGGCCTTAATTTGATCAATGAATTTTAAATGGCACTCAAACAAAGTAAAGCTACTATTAAATGCACTTGAAAAATTAAAAACAAAATAAAATCAAATTGTAAAAAATTTATTGTACGATTAATGAGTGTTTTTTATGCTGAATCAACATAAAATTTGCCATAAAATTGAGATATTATACCATAATTATAATTCAGCTTTAAATTTCCCTAAAAGACCAAGTACAAATTAATCCACAAACATGATTAAACGAATTATGCAGTTTCCATGGAAAATTTCAAAGCCAGAGACTGGGTTAAGCTGCTTCTTCTGTTCGTTGCATCCTGTTAGAGGGAATTAAATGTTAGTCAAGGCTTTTTCGCTTCACCAGCCTTAAAACGATGTCGAAGCGGCGGGACGGCATGTTGCATTGCTCATTAAAATTTAATTGCTACAAAAGTCCATAATTGACGCAAATGCCATGAGTCCGGGCGCAGCAGGCACGAAGGCTTATCAGGTCGTGTCTTGGCATTTGAGGCCACACATAGCTGCCTGCCTGCTAATGCAATTAGCCACGAACACCCACATCCACACTTACACTCGCTGGCTCACATGTTGGCCAAAGCGCTGACAAAGGCTCAAAGCCATCTTCAGTGTTTGCGGCTTAGAATATTTATGATTGATGCATTCGATGCTTTTTCCTCTTAGCCGGGCTTTAATGTCCTATTGACAGCTCGGCTTGTGTTGCTTTGTTTGCCCGATGATTTGTCAAAATTCTGTAATTTAACGCTCTGCTAAATCGGTAGTAGCAGTAGTCTTCCTCCTAAGACGGCAAGTTCGTGGGAACCCAGGCAGTTGTCCGACACCTGGAGCTATACTTTCGACGGAAGTTCTGGGCTGAGTGCAGCCCCGGTGACGCTTTTGAAGTCTTGGCCAAAAACAGCAGCATTGTGTTTCCCATCTTGACTTGTTTTTTTTTTTTTTTGGCGCAGTTTTTGCGCTTTTTAATGTTTGCGCCGAAAGCGCTAAAATACATTAAGCCATATTGTGGGCTTAGTGCCTTATTCTCTGCTCAAAAAGAGAAGAACCGTTTTCTTTTTGACAACTATAAATGTTTTTATATCCCCAAATAAGAAAAATGTACCCTAAAACTTGTATATTTATGTATATCAATTTACCTCTAATAATAGCTCTCTTTAGCTTACTTTTCTGTTCCCCGATGTCTTAAACCATTAACCTCGCAAAATGGCCATTATCAAGTGACCATTTTTGTGTAGAATTTACCCAAAAAAGTCGTACTTACCAGTGTCAGCTGCATTACAAATGCCAGCCAACTCGACACACAATCTGATATTAAGTTATAAATTTGCCAGCCAGCGGTGCCCTCTGGCCTCAGTCTTATTTTTTGTTTGCCTGTATCTCATTTCAGCTTTTTTAGTTACACTTTATTTTTCAAACAGTGTACAGTGTGTGTGTGTGTGTGTGTGGTTTGCGGTTGGAAGGAAGCGTGGATGTGGGGGGACGTGTTTTTGCCATTTCTAAGCGGAAGCGAAATGTGCGAGAGTAGTTGAAAGCCCTCGAGTTGTTTCGTTGCCGTTGCTCATGTCAAGTGCCAGCTGCTGCCATGGCCCCCTGGAATCCTCCAATCCGCCGACAGTTTGGGCGGCTGCACTTTCGACATTTAGCGCCGCCCACATGGTTGGTTACCTCCCGAGAGTCCAGCGTCCACCTGCCACCGTTAACCCCTGCCCTGTCCCTTAACCCCCTCCCTGGCCAGCAGGTGCATTTGACTGGCACCACAGCATGTGTATGTGTACGTTGTGCCAGCAGCCAACTGTTAAGCGAAATTACCGCAATCTCCGCACGTCGAACACTTTTTAATGCTGAAAAATGTATTTTCTAATTTTCTCCCCACTGCCATGTTGTGTCCATGTGCTTCCTCCTCGCTTTCTGCTCGCTCGGTCAAGTTTATTTGGCTTTGTCAGTTTTCAGCTGAGGAAGAGCAGGTGCGAGGAATGAGTCTCAAACTGGCCGGGCAATGTTAATGAAAAGTAATTATTTTACAGATTCGTAAACTTTAGGGTGAAGAAATGGCTTTAAGCTGGAAGGACAGCCCGTGTCGAGTGTGTCCTTTGCACATTAATATCGTATCCTTGGCAAAAATTTTCATATTACTTACTCAACTTGACGTAGCTGGAGCTAAAAGCTTCGGAAAAAAGGCAATTTCCGCCATCTTCGTTGCATGGTAAGAACAGAGAGCCAAAGAGGAAAAAATCAGTAAAGCTGATTTGCCGACATTGTTAAAATTTGCGAGCCAGAGAAAATTTGGGGAGCGGTCTGGGCCAAAAAGTTGCTAAACTCAGTTTACAAAGAGATCATGAACTTTAATGGAACAATTAATTTGTGATTAAATTAAAGTTTAAAGGGAAATGCACTACATGTTCGTTTACTGTTACTACAAGTATATTGTTTACCCTTTTATAAATTTATATACATTTCCCCAATAGTTTTACCCAGGAAAAGTCTTTCTAGCCACCTGTAAACATCACGAAACTTAACCAAATAAAATCCTTCCCTACTCCCTACTCCCATTCACTGTCTTAATTAAGACGGAACAGGTCTATTAAGAGAATTACGAGAAAGAGTGATTAAAGAATTGCAGAATTCCGGCAAAAGTTTACCCACTTAGCCAACTGCTTGGCATTTTGGCAGCTGCCAGAGATTTCCTTCAATCTGTATAATTTAGCTATTTTATGCAGCGGCCAACAACAGGCGGAAAAATTCATGAAACGTGGGGTAAAAAAAAAACAAGGGAAATACGCTTTGTTTTCATTCCTTTTTATACCCTTGCAGGGTATTATAATTTCAGTCAGAAGTTTGCAACGCAGTGAAGGAGACGTTTCCGACCCTATAAAGTATATATATTCTTGATCAGCATCAACAGGGGAATCTTTCTAGATCTGTCCGGAAGAAATCGATTTTTTTGCCATTTTTGCAAAATTTTATAAGGGGTTACATCATTAAAATTTTTGATTTTGATAAAAAATTGAATTTTCAAAATTTTTAAATGAAGTATGCAGATTTATTAACAGAACAGTTTTCCGATTTAAAATTAATGCTCTTTTGGCCGAGTTATGATATTTTTAATTTAAAAAAAAATCAAGAAGTTTTTCAATATAAACAAGAAAGGAAGCTAACTTCGACACGCCGAAGTTTGTATACCCTTGCAGATTGCAATTGGATCACTAAGAATCGAGCCATTCTGGTTAAATAATTGAAATTATTCGAATTGAATTTCATGAATTTTTAACTGAGTTGTAAACCTTTGAAAATTAGTTTCTTGCCCATTTTTGTTTAAACAATTATTTAAAAATTACAGGTAAGTATTAAAGCAAAACTAAGTAGGCAGTTTTGTTAAGCTTAGAATAACCAACTTAGAACAACTTTCCGAAATGAATTTCATGCATTTTTGACTGAGTTATGAACCTTTGAAAATTAGTTATTTTCCCCAAAAATAAATCGCACCATTTTTGCAAAAATATGTAAGGGGTACCATCATTAAAATTCTAAAAAATTGAGAAAAAATGAAATTGAAACGAACCCTAAACAGTATGCAGTTTTGTTAGGCTTAGAAAAGGCAACTCAGAACAGCTTTCCGAATTGAATTTCATGCACTTTTGGCTGAGTTATGAACCTGAAATTAGTTTTGTTTCTGAAAAATTATCAAAATAAATCGCACCCTTTTTTTTAAATTTAATTGCAGCAAGTTGCCAGGAACTGAAAGCGGGTGCCGAAGGCGAGACAGAGAGCGTTGGCAAGGAGGATCAGGACGAGGAGGAGCAGAAGTGGACCAAGTGCCACCAAGACCGAGTCGAAACCACTGGGAACGACCTCCGACATTCCCACATGCCTCACCTTTTCTTCTTTTATTTATTTAAAGCTGAAATAAATAATAAACCTTAAAAAATGTGTAATTTTTGAGTTATGAGAGGAGGATGCGGTTTTTTTTGGGTGGGATAATTTAAACAGGCTCAATGGAAGGGCATTCTTGCGGTGGAAAATTAAAGAAACATCAAAGCAAAATAGCTAGATGAGCTCACTGGCAGTTAGTGAGATGCCATTTTGTTCCAATACGGCAAAATAGCTGGATGAGCATCACTGATAGTTAGTGAAATGCCATTTTGTCCCAATAATGCAAAATAGCTAGATGAGCATCACTGGTAGTTAGTGAGATGCCATTTTGTCCCAATAATGCAAAATAGCTAGATGAGCATCACTGACAGTTAGTAAAATGCCATTTTGTCCCAATAATGCAAAATAGCTAGATAAGCATCACTGGCAGTTAGTGAGATGCCATTTTGTCCCAATAATGCAAAATAGGTAGATGAGCATCACTGGCAATTAGTGAGATTCCATTTTGTCCCAATAATGCAAAATAGCTAGATGAGCATCACTGGCAGTTAGTGAGATGCCATTTTGTCCCAATAATGCAAAATAGCTAGATAAGCATCAC